ACCTGGATGGGAGACTTCCTGGGAAAACTAGGTTGCTGTTGGAAGAGGTGTTAGTGAGGCCAGTAGGGGGTTCTCACCCTGTGTCTGTGTGGGTCCTAACGCCCCAGTAAAGTGATGGGGACATTATACTGTAACAAGCACCATCCTTCAGATGAGACGTTAAACCGAGGCCCTGACTCTCTGTGGTCATTAAAAATCCCAGGATGTCTTTTGAAAGAGTAGGGGTGTAACCCCGACATCCTGGCCAAATTTGCCCATTGGCTTCTGTCCATCATGGCCTCCTAATCATCACCATATATACTCATTGGCTTCATCACTCTGTCTCCTCTCCACCAGTAAGCTGGTGTGTGGTGGGCGTTCTGGCGCAATATGGCTGCCGTCGCATCATCCAGGTGGACGCTGCACATTGGTGGTGGTTGAGGAGTTTCCCCCCTTCTATGTAAAGCGATTTGAGTGCGGAGAAAAACGCTATATAAATGTAACGAATGATTATTATTTTGGTCTCATTCTTGATGTTTTTGTTTTTCCAGATATTGTCCAGATCGCTCATCACTTTCAAGGCCATGGCTGTTCTTATTCTGATGTCTGTAGAGCAGTCACAGTTTGCAGTCAGAGTCGTTCCAAGATACCTTAATCTTTCCATGTGCTCCAACTACTTCCCTCTGAGCAACAGTCCTTCCTTTTTTAATACATAGCAGCATCCACTCCATTTTGGAGTCCCTTATCTCTTGCCCATACTTTGAGCTGACATTGTTGACTCAATCCAAAAGGACCTTGAGCATGTCTAAGTAGTTGTGTCAAGAGACCAATATCATCGGCAAAACGGAAGTTCTTAATTGTTCTGCTAAACTGGACCAGTGAATATAAACTGAGTTTACATTTGACATTGGTCTCACACTTACACATGATGACGCAACATTTATTTGTTTAATTTCTTGATTCTAAGGTAAGGCACATGCATTTGTAACATGATTGCTGAAAAGCTATAAGTAAAACTGATTTGTGCAACTAACGTCCATTTATAAAAAGGGCAGGCAGAGGACTTGGCTAATTAATACTACATCCTCATTATCAGAGTCAGACTGACCCACTCCCACGTTGGGCAGAACTACGAAACGAGTAGAATCACAGGATGTGCACATTGAGTCAGGTCAATGAAACGGACTTCAAGTGCTCTCCACTGCTTTTTTCACATTTTCAACTTTCTTTAGTGTGTAATGTTGCTGTTTGAGCATGAAAAAGGTCTACAAAGTTACAAAGCACAAAGTCACTCCAAAGGGAGTTATTCTCTATATCAGTGTCACTGTTTCTGAACTCCCTGTCCATTGTCTAGAGTTTTCTTCCTTGAACGAACACGTCACAAAATTCCTAATTTAATGAATTCCTCCCCAAAGCATAAACAAAATAAAGGGACGAGGCCTGGTTGAGTTAGTTAGAGGGGTTTTGAAACTGGGAGTCGTGGCAAGGGGCGTGACATTTCAGAAACATGGTCGAAGCGGTTGACCAATCACAACACACTGGTCCAGCTGACCAATCAGAGCACATTGTGCTTTTCAGAAGGAGGGGGATTAATCAGAATGTTACTAACAGACTGGGAAGAGAGGAGCTGCAACAATGTCAAATATGTAAAAAAAAAGAATGTGTTTTTCAACATTCAATCATGAAAACCAATTCTAGTAGTAGTAGCCCCCAAAAAAACTAAATCAAGACTTTGAAAAAGGGCATAATAGGTCCCCTTTAAAGTCAGCTAGGTGCATGATTTTGCTTTAGGACCTTGATTTTTATATTGGACATCATGTGGCAACACATCACAGTACTAGAAAGAAAACCAATTTTCTAAAAGGGATTCAGTATTTTACCCCGAAATGAAAATAGTCATCATTTATTTACTATCATGTCGTTTTAAACCTGTATGACATTATTTTTCCATGGAGCACAAAAGGGGAAATTTCAAGTTCAATTTTTAAGTTTCACACATGCAAAGTTTGCATCCAAGGTCAAAAAACACTTTCATTTTCTCATAATATACATTGCAGCATCAGCTCTTTTCTCAGTGTCTGAAACAGCTCGATAAAGGAATTAGTCTTTCTAAACCCCTCCTTTCCGAGAGCCTACTCTGCTCTGATTGGTCAGAAGCCCCAGTCTGTTGTGATTGGTCTAAACCAAACACCCATTATTACCATATCTGAAGTTCAGCTCCAGAGGCTTCCTCAGCACTTGATACACAGTGATACGAACAGTAACGATGGCTTGATTGATTTTTGAAGACCATAGGCTGGATTTTATTACTTGTATTTAGCCATCTGTGACCCCATCTAAACAGAGCTATGACCCCATTTGCCAACCACAAAGCAAGGTCATTGATACCTTAAGAGCTCAAACACGGAGATGGAAATATGATAAATAAAACAAGCCTAATGTATTCCATGATATGACAAGATAAATCAGAGAATTACGCTGTGGTCATTTTACAATTGAGAAACTTGTAATCGTCAGAGTAAATGGAGAGATGAGTCTTTGAGACTGCTGTTATTCCACACAGCCACTAGAGCTGCTCAAGAGCCTCTTACAGCAACTCGACATAATTACGCTTAGAAACGCTTTAATATGGAGACAATCCACTTAATGAGTGACTAAGAAATATTATCTAGTCTGGTGAATTGACAATGTTTTACACAAATCAGGCCCTTTCTCAAGTCTGAACACAGAACACAGACTGTTATTTCCTCTACGTCTGCAGAAAAAGCATGTGGCCTGGCTTTAAAATACCCTGACTCATGAAAAAGTTTTTCTTTGTCAAGCTAACGACCAGGGCAGTTCAGTTGAGTTGACAGTTAACCCAGCCGGCACAATGCCAATTTACAGTAAGCTGGCATTTTCAAGTTGCTCAATGTGTTACAGTACTATTGCTAATATTTAGTTGACAAGCCTATTTATGGAAGAACACCGCTAAAGGACACATCTGTTATTACAGACTGATCTAAATGCCAGTTTTGAACCATATGTTCGAATGCACTGTCACACATTTGACATTCGGCAGCTGTGAAGCCCTATATTTCATGTTTATAATTAGCAGCAGGATCCAAGAATTGAAACCAAGAGTAGCATTGGGATGTGATCTGATTAAGAGACTCTAAGAATACAATACTTGAAGAGCAAAAAGGTGTACAAACTGGCCTTAATGGACCTTTTAATTCAGTTAATTCTTGCACACAACAGTTTGATGAAATTCAGCTCGTGTGAGGGAGATTAGCGAGCAAACATCACGTTAGGTTAACCCATTGAGAGAGGCAGGGGAACCGGTCCAGCACTACTTAGTTTATTAATGGGGCTGATACAACCAGGGGAACGTTTGTTTTGTTGTATTTTCCACATCTACATCCAGCTTCCGATCAGAGTTAATAGCCGGAGTTGAAAACACATTTCCAGAGGCTTAAACATTCAGCAGCAATTTTCCCGATTTCGCAACTAATCAATAACAACCGTCTGAGTCCACAGCTGTGCCATTATATGGCGAAATCAAAGATAACCGTTTTAAATGCTGGCTAACTGAATTTATCAGAACTCTAATGGACTGTCAAATGCATTTCTGAGAAGTTAACATCATAACAATCCCCTCTCAAACAATGTGATTCTGTAGCTTCCGGAGAAACACAAGACATTGATAGACAGACTGTAATTACCTTCATGCTTCACCTTGGAAGAAGTTGCAAACACAGTGGTTATCCATGTTCTCATGGGAACATGACTTGAGGATAGTGTAGAGGAATGGCGATTGACAAGTGTATAGTGGTGGTGTGAAAAGTTACAGCAAGGAGAGTCAGCGAGGCATGTGAGGGACAGAAGCTATATGTGTTCTTCTCCCCACAGGCATGAGTGGCCTCTGGATGTCACGTTATGGTTGTCTCTGCTCATTATCTAAAGCACTAACATAGGCAGGCAAAACAAGAAATACTCTCACTATATTGGAGAAAATCAATAAAACGGCATTAATGGCCTCTATAGATTAAATTATGACTATGCTTTCAGATGAGATGAACAACAGGAACTCAGTAGCATGATGGCGGTCATCTCTAAGTCCATTTTAAAAAATCAAAGCATACACAAATAGATTTACAAAATACAAACTAGGATCAATGACATTTAAGAGTGTCCATGAAAAAATCCAAAACAGGAATTAACTCTTTGTATTCATGTTGGTTATATCCTGTTAAGTGTATATTAAAGGGTTAGTCCACCCAAAAATGAAAAACAATTCATAATTTACTCACCCTCACCTGTAAGACTTTTGTTCATCTTCAAAACACAAATGAAGATCGTTTTGATGAAATCTGAGAGATTTCTGTCCCTCCGTTGACAGCTACGCAACTACCACTTTGACGCTTCAGATCTTAAAACGAATCCATGAATTGAGCGGTTTAGTCCAAATTTTTCGAGAATGAACCTCATTGGTTCTCGCACGTCAAGCAAGCATGACTGAGCTTCTGTTTACCACAACTGATGTGTGAGTTGATGAATGTTTATCTGTGAATAAAAGTCTAAATTAAATCTGTTCATCATATAAAGCGATTTAGTCTCTTCAGAGAATTTGCACTAAACCGCTCAATTCATATGGATTAGTTTTACGATCTCTTTATGAACTTTTTGAAGCTTTTTGAAAGTAGTTGCGTGGACTGTAAATGGAGGGACATAAATCTCTCAGACTTCATTAAATATCTTAATAGTTGCGTGGACTGTAAATGGAGGGACATAAATCTCTCAGACTTCATTAAATATCTTAATTTGTGTTTCGGAGATGAACTAAAGTCTTATCGGTTTGGAACGACATGAGTGTGACGGAATTTTCATTTTTGGGTGAATGAAAACACATCATGAGTTGGTCATCAAGAGGTATTAAAATAAGTAATTGCATTACGAATTGCATTTTTCATGTATTTTTTTAATGTAATGTATTTACATTATTGACCTATTAACATGCAAAAGACTATCAATAAACTTACTTTTATGGGTGCAGAGCTGAATTGAATTTTCCGTTTTTGTGGAATATCCTCCTTGACCTCCGCTGGAAGACCGGGAATCTCCGTAATCTCTGATCCTGGGTCATAGGAAATGTCATCATCGTACAGGTCATCCTCTAAGTCTGTGCAGCTCTCCCCCCAGCCCTGGTAGCAAGCATCTCCATCGGCAGTGAAAATAACTCTCTCGTTGCCGCAATATTCCTCATTGTGTTCTTCAATTTGATCCTCTGTAATCCAGCTAGACTCCTCTTTCACATGACCGTCTGTGTCCTTGTGGACCGTGGTAGCTGTAGACTCATGTGAATTCCCCGCAGCATCATTGACTTGAGCCGCAGCTGAAGAATTGTCCACGACCTTGGTTGAGTTTACCTCATCTTTTGGTTTCAGTTCAATGGATCCATCAACCACATCGGGGGTCTCCTGGGCCTTCTTCTCGTCGTGTTTCACTTGGTCCACGGCCTCAGACAGAGGACTAGGACTGAGAAGATCTTCTGAAGATGAAGAAACTGGCATGTTGTGCTTGTTACCCACTCGCGTCCTGTAAAAACCACTTGACGGAGACTGTCGCGCACTGGTGTCGTCCTCGCTGGCCTCCCCATGTCTCTGTAAGCCATCTGGAGAGTACAGCCCCCTTCCGCCTCCCTGGCCTCTTCTGAAAGTAGCACCGGAGCCCTGCTGATCTATATTTTCGAAGACAGCGCTGAGCTGACTCACAGTGGGAGATGAGGCCTCTGTCCTGGAGCAAAGACTATCCAAAGAGTCCGTACTGCCTCTGTTTGAACGCGCTCCCCTCCAGTCATCCAAATGCTCGTGAGAACCCCTCTTGTCTCGGCCATAAGAGTACACCGGCGACTGTGAAGCATCTCTGGAGCTCTGCTCAAAAAGCTTCCTTGTTTCGGAGAACTTTGATTTATGATGGCCACCAGCAGTCCGCTCTCCATTGCCGTGCTGGAACTGGACCACCGATCCATCCGCCTTGTTGATGAAGTTTGTTGGCTTGCTGAGTTTCTGTGGGGAGGTCTCATCCCTTGCTCGTCTGTTGGACCCAATGTTCTCAGTCCCCATTTGCATGAACATGTTCTTGATGCGACTGACGTGGGCCCCGTATTGCCGCCCTCGAGGCTGCCTGATCCCCTCTGGGTCCTTGAGTTTGGGGCCTCCATCCTGTCTTGGTTGGTCAAATGCCTTCTTTAGAGCCTGGAACTCCGTCCTGTAGGCGTTCCGGTGCGGGGAAGCGCTCCTCAGGGTATTCCTCTCTGCCGAGGCCTCCGTCTTCATCATCTTAGCCTCGACAATGGAGGTCTTCTCAAATAAACAGTAACATACCTTCAGTTTGTTCGTTGGGTGCAATCACATATTATTGGGGATTCCTGAAAACATTTACAAAAATGTTATGAGAAGCTTGTTTGTTCACAAATTATGCAATTATTATTTATTTTTGCACAGCAGACAATCATATACTGTAAAAAGTGTAAACTTGTCAAGGAAGTGACCCTAATAAGGCCACATACCAAATAGGCCCAGTTGTTGTTGTTTTATATACTATCCATAATAAAATACCATTCAAAAATCAAAATTTAATATTTAAAAAAAAAAGATTTTGAAAGAAGTATCTTATGCTGCTCACCAAGGCTGCATTTATTTGATAAAAAATACAGTAAAAACAGAAATATTGTGAAATATTACAGTTATTTAACCACATTAAATTAAAACATTTTAGAATCTTCTTGAGCCAAACAAAAATCTGTCTGTGATTGTAATAACAGAAAAATAACTTTTTTGTCAAGTGTGATTATTAGGAATGGCTCCATTGACCCCTATTGTTCCTAATAAGCTCACTTTACCCACAAAAAATATAGGGACTACAGACTCAGAGCCTAAAAATTAGTCTCGAAACTAGCTTTCTGCATTGGCAAAGCAATATGGATTTGATATCATGACCTGTGAAAGAGTCAAAATAGATACTCAGCCAGAGAAAAGAGTGTGAGAGAAATTGATTGACTTTAAGATAAGATACAGTAGCCTACAGATTAATTGTTGCTCAGACACTAAAACTCCAGTTTGATCAGCAGTTCTTTAATAAGTCATGCTGACTCATCAAAAATGAATTCGACTTAAATTAAGTGCCTAATGCATATGACACATGTCTAGTCAGTTTATTTGGCCACACAGGTGGGCATGCACGTTATAAGTCCACTCTGGACTTTGCAATTACATAAAGCAATTTAATTTAGTTAGTTCACCAAATTCGTTGTTACAATAGCCTACTGAACAGCAGCAGCAGGGCAGATGAAAACAACAACTCTAAAGCAACTCTGCCGCACATCAGTTTGTAAACACACGCCTCAAAAAGGGCTCGGATGCTGGAAGATGCCTTTGCATTGGCTCTAGTCCACCGCCCTGGTTCTTGAACATTATGCGTGATCATCACTTTGCCATAAGGGCAGACGGAGCAGTCAATATCAGCGCGATGTTGTTGATGCACCGATGTGTTTTCGACGCAGATCTCGATATGACTCACAGATTAGATTTGCCTTCCAGCACCCATCGTGAACACTGCAGACAGCCGCTGCATTTTAGCCTGACAGAATGTGTTTTATCAATCCCACATCTCACGAATTAATATTTAATATCGACAATAAAAGCACGAAAAGGCAGATGCACATTTAAGCCCAGCACAAGGACAAAATATAGCTGTGCGAGCAACCAGCATAATGTAAAACAGTTTCTGTTGGTTAGATAACAGCCCACATTTACTCTCACAACATGCATACCGCGAATAAATGTGAAACTGCAAATGTATGCATTTGGAAAAAGTGCGACCATTGCGCTATTCAAAGATGATGAGCAACCCGTGCGCGCATCACATCGCATCGTCTGCATCACTGACAGCTCCATCCTACAAACAGTCTCCATGAACACTAAAAAAATACAGACCTAGTTCATTCCAGCGAGTGTATCTGCAAAACACCGTACATAAACACAAAGCAGAAGTGGCACAAGTATTGCTTAACTCCCTTGTTGTTGCTCCAAAACAAAAGAGGCACTTACCTACGCCTTCAAATGTAATGTTAGTTATCACAGGAATAAATGTGTCCTCGCTTTAAATCATGAACTAAAGGGGAATTGCATTGGAAAGCATTTTAATTCAGCAACGCTACTGGCATCAAGCTGCCATACAGGACCTTACCAGACAATTGACACAATGTGACATACAAGCCGGGCTTTACTCACACACACAGACACACACACACACACACACATACACACACACACACATACGCGCGCGCGCGCAGCTAGACAACGCCATTGCAGGCGAGGGGTGATGCCGCCATTCCCTCAGTGGGGGTGTTGTTGATACACAAGACTATTCAGAGTCAAACGATCAGTTTAGACAAAGCAATTTCCGTATTTCTTCATGTATTCACCACAACTAATTGGGTTTCTCGACTATGTTCTATTGTCGCGAGAGCTTCGACAGTTGACAGGTGTGTAACCTTAATTTTCACAAATGGTTCGGTCCAGTAATCTGTATAGAGGGGGAACAAGCAAACTGCAGTCTGGCAAAGGAAAGAAAATAATATCGCAGAATAATATTAACTACAGTGGTCGTGCTGGAGTGATACAAGGCCACGTGTTGACAAGAATAATCAATCAATACAATTGCAATTGTAATTTCTTTGTAAATGCATTTCTGCTGCCTCTGTGTAGTGTAAATGCACTTTTTGTGTTATATTTGCCACTTCACATGCAGCTGTGCTGCCTTTGCAGCATAAAGGCATTAATAGGTGATTTGTGGGAGAAATATGTGAATTATACAAATTTAGAAATAATTAATTATAAAAAAAAAAGGAGAAACACAGGATATTTGACCTCTAATTTATATTTACAGGGTTTAGGCTGATGTGAAAATGAATTTGTTAAACTTCCTGTTTGTCTCATTAAGCATATGTTGCATGAACCCCAATGATTTTTTTGCCTTTAGCCAAAAAAAAAGAAAAAAAAAGAGGAATTTTATGCAACTGCTAAATTGTTGCTTTTTTTAATATGTATTGCATAACACTTGATCATGCTTATACTCCTGTCAGAGGTTGTCTGGAGATGTTGCTTAGCAACCTAAAATCTTGATGGCACAAGATGCAGCCTGGTAGCACATTTGTTCATGAGGTACAAAAAAAACTGATACAGAACCATCAGATGGTTTGTTGTATCACTCGTGGTGCTCACTATAGACTGTCCAGATGTGTGGCATTGTGCACAGTGCAAGTGGTCATCATGGCCATCTGTGTGCTCACTGCTCAGCTTCTCCACAGGGGGTTGAATACATTTTAATAGACCTTATCTCATTGTCATCTTTAGAGCTTATGGGGCATGATGGATGGGGGAGGGGGGCAGGGAGGAGCCTCCTGTGCATTCTCCTCAGAGAGGTTGTGCTTCTGTCATTGCTTCATTTACAGCACTTGTTATATTTAGGAGATGCTGAAACCAAATAAATAAATCACACTTCAGTGATCATACTGTGTACTTAAATCACCAATTAATTTTTTTTGTTAAAGTCACATTCTGCAATGATAAACTAATTTAACTATTTTCAGCCAATTTAAAAATCGTATAATATAATATAATAATTATTGTTTTTATTTATTATTATTTTTTAATTGCAAACAATTTAAATGAAAAGGAAAGAAAGGAGGAAAATACAAACAGGTAAACAAATTACACCTCCAAGAAAGATACGATCAAGTACTTAATTTGTTCATCTTATTATTTGTAAATTTGAAAGATTTTACAGTAAGGGAAATCTCAGCAAGAAAGACTTCGGTTACACTTTATTTTAAGGTTACGTAGTTACATTGTTACACAAATAAGTGCTGAGTAATATTATTAACTACATGTAGCCTACTATATATATTTACTGTTAGGGTTAGTTACTTGTAATTATGCATAATTAACTGTTATTAATATAGTATGTACGTAGTTACACATTAATGCATGTAATGTACATTAAGGTGTAACTACGTCACCTTATTTTATTTTTTTACCAAAGACTTCAAATCTTAGCAGTGTTAAGAAATTTGTTCTTGTAAAAAAAAAGAGATAATTTTAATGCAAAACAAAGAAATAATAATAGGTTAAATTACAAAATGAGATAGGCCTAGATGACAAATTAAATTTTCTCAAATCAAATGTATTTGATTGAATTGACGTGTCCCAGTTACAGTTATACATTTAAGTACTGAGTAATAGTAATTAACTACATGTAGGCTACTTACTATAGGGTTAGGTTAGGATTGGGGTTTGGTTTAGAGTTAGTTGCATGTAATTATATTGCTATAGTAAATACATGTAACGTGTAAAAAGGACACATTAAAATAAAGTGTTACCAAATAATTTAAGCAAAGTTTCTAAGTCAATTTTACTGAATGCACATAAGTTGGAAACATCAGCAAAAGTAGGAGCTATAGTTGGGTAGATATTATTCAGGCTAAACTAAACTTATAAAGATTATATAAATATAAATAAAATAAAACATATGCTTACGCAATTCGATTGGCATTAAAAAAAAGAATTACTGTATGGTATGTGCTACCTATGTTTTCCACCACCCCGTCCTAACCGTGTCCCCCTGTAAATATAGCTTGTGATTATTATTTTTTTCCAGCATCTGCGCCAGATGTTTTCAGCCAACCAGCGCCCATCAGCTTCAGTGAGTGGGAGGAATCCGAGCAGCGGAGGAGGATGATGATGATGATGCTTATGGCTGTCACAGTCACATCCCGAGGACCACCAGCGATTCCTCAAATGTGTGCTGTTAAGAGCCACTGCGGCAACTGAACGATGGCCTCGGTCGGCATTTTCGTGGGGCTCGTAGTGGGTACGTATAGACTTGAGACGACGACACTGGGAGAAATACTCGTTCTTTTCCGTTGGATGAGAGCTAACTTAGCTTGCTGGCTAACGGAATAGCTCTCGTGCTCATTACACCATAATAATAAACCGAATGACAGTTAACTGATAATTCAGAGATGGTATCAGCGTGTTGACGTTAATATCGCGAATTCCACCTGTAATATATTATTTAACACATTCCGTTTGGTATTATACTGTTGCTAATAGCAAACTACATACATTGGTTCATTTGCTTCTTGTAAGATTACGATAACGTTTTTCATAGTAAATTGTTTTATGCTATTTTCACATCTATCATTCCTCTTTGTCCGTTGTAAAAGCCGCAATTGTTCGTTCTGTCAGTGGCATAGACGGCCAAAGCTTGGCTTTAATCGACTCCAAACAGAGATCTGTGTTTCAGACTGGCGGTGAGTGATTGGAAAGACTGGATGTGTCTCAAAAACTAGTATGCTGCCTGTCTTAGTAGTGCTGGGGAATGTGATTCATTCCAGTGACTCGAATCTTTTGAATTGGTTCACTGATTCATTTAGTGGCCTTTTTCTCTGCAGGTGATTAATGTTTTATTTTTTTATTTACAGCAACAAATCGACTAGAGTTGACTATTGAAAATAACAAAGCAAATCTATAATTTTATTAATTTTGACAACTGCTGTGAATCAAGAAAAATAACAACTGTAGGCTAATAATCACCCAATGCAATCATTTATTTTATAATGGAGAGATGTGCAGTAGGTGAATAAAAAATGAGTCAAGTGAACTAGAAAGACTTATTCTAAAAAATGCTGTGTTGTTTCAATCCATGTTTGGGTCAAATATGGACAAACCCAACAGTTGGTTTACATTTTTTTATTAAAATTTTAAACCCAACGGTTGGGTTTGTTCACTTTAAAGATTTAATTAAAACACTGATTTGTTTACAAAATACCAATACAGAATCTTTCGGCTTCATAGGAACGCTTAAACCAGACAGCCAAAATGGTGTATGTTCCTGTGATGTTCAAAATGCTGACTAGGTAGGCAGCTCACTAGGTTTTTGAGACAAAGCCGATGTGTTTGAAGTGATCGTAACACACGCACAGCACTTTCCTGTGCAAAGCTTTTTGGGCTTAACACCTGCCACCCTGCTGAATCACCAACCTGTATAATACACCTTCCTCTTGACTCTTTTGAAATAGGAAGGGGAAGAACTACTTCTTTAACAAAACTGGCTTGTATATTAGGCTATAACATGCAGTAGCCCAGTGATGCAGCCTCTAATATATAACATGTTTTTTTTTTTTTACAATGCTTTACAGTTTGACATAAATTGTTTGATCTGCATAATACATTTAGCATTATAAATGAAGGTATTCACTTCTTCAAATGTATCAAAATGAGAATCAGCATTACCTGATAAATGGACGGCTTGAGAAAAGCATTCTTTCACTTCACCATGAGTGTGTTCCCGGCTACAGCTTAGTCTTGACAGGCTGACCCAGTTTTGTGCATAACATTGACTTCCAGGCGCAGTACTTTGAACAGTTTGACGTCTTCACAATCCTGCAAGTAGTCTGCACTGTTTCTTTTCTTCCCTATGAATCGTGAAGTGCATGAATTCCTCTTGACCGGAAAAGAGAAGTCAGCACAGAGCTGATTCGACAGTTCAGTAGGACATCCCCGGCTGTGTCACGAAAAGGGAGGGAGCGAAAAAGAAAATGTCTTTCCTCAGTTGGCACGTAATGAATATCTTCACAAGGTCGGCCCATAAAATCATAAACCAGGATTAGCCATTTCTACTAAAGGGCCCGTCAGTAATTTGTGTGAGTTTGCGCATGTGTGTGTTCTCTGCCATTACTTAGTGTCGCAAAGTTTGCCATTACCCATTAATGGTTGATCTATTAGAATATAGTGTTGAGGATCACCTTCTGTTTTCCTTGAGTTCACATAGTATTCAAATCATTTCAGAGGGTTTGGGATGTGGTTTTGTCTCTGTCGGGTTTATAGCAGGCTCTGGGCTAAGGTCGCCCACAGGGTGACAGAATAAACCATCTGGCACTCCAATTATTCAAAGCATGCATCTGTGGACACGTACAAAACCACAGCCATCAACACCGCAGAAACAGATCAATACCCCATCATGGATAACAGCATTAGTTAATACACAGCTGTTCAGAAAGCCCATAACAGTGCATGGATGTTTGCATTAAGTGTGGATTTCTGTGATATCTACACATTAACATAGATCATTGCGTAGTCTTAAGGCATGTTCACACCAAATCGGTTAGATTTTCACATGTTATTGCATGCTTAAAAACTGTGCTTACTGCCAAGAAAAGCAGAAATACCAGGTTACGCCATGACACAAAGCTCTGCACAACTTTCTGCTTCAGACACCCACTTCTCATGGAGAAGAAAGGAAGTCAAAAGGCCAATTCACAACGCACCGACAGACGCAAACCAATGGCAACAGACTTTGTTGGGTTTTGTCGGATCAGTGTGTCTGTCGGTGTCTGTTGGCGTTGATTGGGACTTGTTTCCACCGATTGAACATGTTCAGTTGGCATTTGTAAGATCGTGGAACGTCTGAAAAGGGATGTGCTGTAATCTGGTGATTGTCGGCATCAGTCGGCCGTCTGTCACTTTGCTTAAACACTATTTTAAAGGGATAGTTCACTTTAAAAAAAATTTTTTTTATGTTTTAGCTCAAGGGCATCCAAGATGTAGGTGTCTTTGTGTCCACAGTATTTTCAATTCTGATTACCGTTCTTGTCTGTCAGTCATATAATGCAGGTCTATGGTCACCACCTCAAAGAGCATGCACAGAGAAGTCCAAATTAAACATGATTTAAAGGTGCTCTACGTAACTTTTAGCGGCCTCTAGTGGTGATGTTTCAGATTGCAACCAAATTTTACAAGAGCGCTCGTGCTCGAACTCATAGACAATACCGTCTATTACGCAAATATCTCGGCGAATACTTGACGGATCTCTAGTTGGTTAGCTCGTTGGGACCATCTAGTCGAGCTGAAAAGAACCATATAAGTTCCTTAGTTTTTGGTAGGGATGTAACGATTCACTCGCAACCGGTTGAAAATCGATAAAAATGTGTGACGATTCAAGTCGGTTGAAATGTTAAACGAATCGCGATACACGTTTTAAACCGCAGGGCGCGTTTACTATAGCCTACTGTGAAGTTGTGAACCTCGCTTTACAATAGCACAATAGCAGCGAGCACACACTGGCGTGAAGCTAGCGAGTGTTTTCACTTCATTCATGGAACTTGATCTTGTGTGAGCCAAGCTCAACTTCCATAGGAATGAACTGAAAACGCTCGGTTTGCTCCGCTCGCGCCGCACCAGTGTGTGCCATAGACTGGTGTGCACGTGCCGTCAAACAGTAGACATGGCTTTGGCGACGGCAAGCGTAGATGTTGACGTTGACTCATTCAAATCGGAGGTGTGGCGGCATTTTGACTTTCCGTAGACTAATAATAATCACCACCGTGAGTAACACCAGTCACCTCCGTTTTCATGTAAAAGTCATTAATACTACAATTGCGAGAGCCACGGAGATCACAAGGTGCATCAGTGTTTCCGTGGCAACCAGGTGTTGTATTTATTTTACTATCTCTTTCTCTAAATGTGTTTTTTTTTACTCTTACTAGTGTAATGATACAAATTATAACAAAATTAGAATCTTGCCTTTATTACAATGTAAAACCCCTGTCAATCTGGTACTACTAATTTTACACAGTCTTTTACATAGTGTGCGAAGGTACCAGTGTCCAGCCTCTTGACCAAACAGACAGAAAGACTGAGTTGAAACAACCTTGAAGGGAATTTTTTTAATGTAGTTTTATTATTTGACAAATATATTCTAAATTAAAAAGAAATGTGCAGCATTTTGTCTGAGAAATAATAAAAGGGACACTTTTGTCTTAAATCTCATTTGTTAAAAAAATCGTGAGAAAATCGTATCGTGAAACCAGTATCGTGAATCGTATCGCATCGTGAGATGAGTGAATCGTTACATCCCTAGTTTTTGGTGGTGTTTTCGCGGAGATATTAGCAGAAAACCATCGGGCGCGCTGCAAAATTGCGGACGCCGGTGACGTCACGATCTCAGAAGAAAATCGCTCGTATCTCTGGAACGCAAAGACCCAGAGAGCTCAAATTCGGGGGAGGGGGTCCCAGGGGAACCCTTGTTGAGCCGGGCGAGTTGGACCTCGGGGGTGGGCTCGTTCGAAAGGCCCCGTCCAGCACTACGAACGATTAGAGCTTTGGAAATATTGATCAAAGATTGACTGAGATATAAGCCGAAAAACGTGCGCCTTTAACCGGACGTAACTCCCTGACCGTCTACAATAGACTGTATATAAGGAGAGAGGCTCGGGAGCGCGCATGCACGTCACATCCGTTGGATTTCGCAGTAAATCCGACCCGGAGACTTCACATAGAAATAGGAATACTGGCCTTCAGAGGTAATAGCAAAACTCGACAAGTGGATCATTTTAATGTGTGATTACAACCCCTTCACACACAGGCAATAAAAAAAGGATTCATTTTAGTAGAAAAGTTACATAGAGCACCTTTAATGACTCGAAAATGTAAGTACACATTGATGGCCTAAGACACGAAACGAGCGGTTTGAGTGAGAAAACGAACAGTATTTATATCGTTTTTACCTCTTGTAAACACAGCCACGTCCAAGTGTTCTAAGGGCGCGGGCGCTTCGGTCTTTTCCGGCAAGCGCCGGAAGTGATCTCTCGCGCGTGTACGTCACTCATACAATTGTTGTTTTTTTTGTTTTTGTTTTATTGTTTTCTTTTACGACGGTTTAAACATCCCGGATAAGCGCAAATTAGTACCCTTTTAATTAGCCGTCTTACCTACAATCTCTGTTCTGTGTAAAGAATGAGTGACGTACACGCGCGAGAGATCACTTCCGGCACTTGCCGGAAAAGACCGAAGCGCCGGCGCCATCAGATCACTTGGACGTGGCTATGTTTACAAGAGGTAAAAACAATATAAATACTGTTCGTTTTCTCACACAAACCGCTCGTTTCCTGTCTTAGGCCATCAATGTGTACTTACATTTACGAGTCATTAAATCATGTTTAATTTGGACTTCTCTGTGCATGCTCTTTGAGGAAGTGACCATAGACCTGCATTATATGACTGACAGACAAGAACGGTTTGACCTAAAAATATCAAAATTGAAAATACTGTGGAAACAAAGATACCTACATCTTGGATGCCCTTGAGGTAAGCTAAAACATATCAAACATTAATTTCAAAGTGAACTATCCCTTTAAGTTGGGCGATTTTGGATTCACTGTTTAGAAAAAAAAAAAAAATTGCCTTTTTTTATGACAGGACAGTATGTAGACAGGAAGCGAAGGGGGTAGAGAAAGAAGTGGACGAGATCGGGAAAGGTCCGTGAAGTTAGGTCACCCGAACCTCATTTTATATATATATATATATATATATATATAAAACAAATACAAGAGTACAGAGACAAGAGAGCCGGTTCTGGATTCTTCCTGTGCTATTCACTGTCGCTAAACAAAACAGTTTGTTTGCAATCGCAGTTTTATGTCACAACTCTGGGCGTGTGACCAGAAGTCCGAATTTGCCCAGTTTTCATCGCAGTGTGAAGGAAAAGAGATTTGAAATCTGTTGCAAATATTTGTGCCTTAAATTATGCATTAACAGCCCATGATCTAGTCCCATTAAATGAATTTAAGGCCATGTTAAAATGCCATATAATTCAAAAGTGTAACTGCCATATGTGACCTGTTCTTTTCTTTTATGTGAGATGCTTGTTTGATTGTTTTTGACTGTGTTGTATTTGTATTTAAATTGTAACTGGTGTGCCGTCTTGGCCAGGTCTCCCTCGGAAAAGAGATTTCAGTCTCAAGGGACTTCCTGGTTAAATAAAGGTAAAAAAAAAAAAAAAAAAAAAAAAAAAAAAACAGCCGTTCATTCAAATAAAATTTTTGAGGCAAATTATTGTGTTAGTGTAAACAGGCCTTTATTGATGGACATAATTTCGTAACTCACTAAGAATGAATCGTGCTTGCCGAGAGTGTTGTTTATTTGCATGCACTGTCTGCATTGCATCAGTAATCGCTACAAAATTTACAAAAACACTCTTTCTGCAGCAATAGCATAACATTGCATTAAGCGAAGAGTCATGAGTTTTGGAAATAGGGTGTAATTTGCATAGAAAAAAATTACATTTATTTGATTAATTTAAATAAAATGTTAATACAAATATTAACTGTATATCCTTTATGTAAATATATATGAAATATATTTGATGCGCATTATATACTCTTATAGGCATTAAACATGTTGTTTAGTTTGTTGATGTATCAAAAGATTATTTTATCTTTATGTGTTCATATTTATGTCAGCTCTCTTTGTGTAACCCATTTATGCTTCCAGATGTCTTGTGATCACTCTTGGTTTGTGCTGTTCTGATCAGCTTAATGTGTTTGAGCGAGCTGCAGCCTCGGTGTAAGCACACGCTGGGCCTTGAGTGATGTACTAGGAGCTGTTTTGTGTTTGAAAGCGTGAAGGAATCTAGCGTTTCTGTAGTTGCGTTCTCCCAGTGCAGCAGAGATTCAAAACCAGCTTCCTCTCAACTGACTCAAAGTGAGAAAAGAAAGATACACTGACAACCATTATAAACTGATGGGAAAAAACTATCTCTTAAATAATAGTGTGTGTTGTGCCAGAGAAACAAAAAGCGAGGGGTGGGGAATGGCGTGTGAGAGTTGCATTGAGCGTGCAGGGTTTGAGTGTTCAGAGATTGTGATTCACTGTACTACTGTCCGCCAGCCAATGAGACTCGATGGCCTAATGCCCAAGACACGCTCACCCACTCGCTCACATAACACATTCTCACACACTCCCACATGGTTTTTAGAAGAAAGAAACACACCCCTGTTACATAAATGTATTAAAAATAAAATAGACAGTTTACATTATCAAGCTCTAAATAATATTTAACATAATCTAATAAATTGTAACATCTGTTATGTCTGTGTTTTTCTTAAAACATCAAATAATTTATTATGAAACAACAAAATTGTAGTTTTTGTTAAGTAAATATGACAATGTTATGTTCATAATTAAGGTTTTTATATACCATTCAAAAGTTTGGGGTCGATAATATTTTTATTGTTTTTGAAAAAGTATCTTATGCTCACCATGGCTTCATTTATTTGATAAAAATAGTAATATTGTGAAATTTAAATATTGCTATTTAAAATAGCTGTTTTGTATTTGAAAATATTATAAAAAGTCATTTATTCCTGTGATGGAAAGCTGAATTACTCCAGTCTTCAGTGTCACATGATCCTTCAGAAATCATTCTAATATGCTGATTTGCTGCTCAAGAAACATTTCTTATTATTATCAATGTTGAAAAAAGTTTTGCGGATTCATATTTTTGTGGAAAACATGATACATTTTCTCCAGGATTCTTTGATGAATAGAAAGGTCAAAAGAACAGCATTTATTTTAAATAGAAATCTTTTGCAACATTATACATTTTTTATCAATTTGATGTGTCCTTAATGTATGGAAGCTTGTTTCCGCCACTGAATAAATAAAATAAAAATAACAATTGCGACTTTTTATCTCACAATTGCGAGATATAAAGTCAAAATTGTGAGAAATAAAGTCGCAATTGCGAGATATAAAGTCGCAATTGTGAGAAATAAAGTCGCAATTGCGAGATATAAAGTCGCAATTCTGAGAAATAAAGTCGCAATTGCGAGAAAAAAAGACAGAATTGCGACTTTTTATCTCACAATTCTGACTTTTTCTCACAATTGCGAGTTTACATCTCGCAATTCTGACTTTATAACACATAATTGCGAGTTATCAGGCCAATTCTAAGGGGGGAAAAAGACTAACTTTTTTCACCTCAGAATAGTTTATATCTCACAATTCTGACTTTATAACACGCAATTTTGACTTTATATCAATCAATTCTGACTTTATATCTCGCAATTCTGACTTTATAACACGCAATTGCGACTTTATATCAATAAATTCTGAATTTCAAGAATTTAACACTTATATGGAAGCTTGTTTCCGCCACAGAATGAAAAATAAAAAAGGTAATTGCGACTTTTTATCTCACAATTCTGACTTTTTTTCTCACAATTGCGAGATATAAAGTCAGAATTGCGTGATATAAAATCGCAATTGTGTGTTATAAAGTCAGAATTGCGAGATATAAAGTCAGAATTTATTGATATAAAGTCGCAATTGCAGGTTATAAAGTCAGAATTGCGTGAAATAAAGTCGCAATTGCGTGTTATAAAGTCAGAATTGCGAGATATAAAGTCAGAATTTATTGATATAAAGTCGCAATTGCAGGTTATAAAGTCAGAATTGCGTGAAATAAAGTCGCAATTGTGTGTTATAAAGTCAGAATTGCGAGATGTAAACTCGCAATTGTGAGAAAAAAAGTCAGAATTGTGAGATAAAAAGTCGCAATTACCTTTTTTATTTTTCATTCTGTGGCGGAAACAAGCTTCCATATAAGTGTTCAATTCTTGAAAAAAGTTTTACCCAAAATTATTACTCCAAACTTTTGAAGGTAGCATATACATATATAGCCTATGTATGTGTGTGTACACACACACACACACACACATATTATAATAATAGCTATTTCTTTAGTGTGTGCAGTGAGGGAATTTTGTCTGCCACATCACACTGCTCTTAATAACTCTTTTATCATTTCTATCTGCACCAGTGGTCACCATCCTCTCTAAGTCACACGCGGACCGCAACGTTTATCCTTCTGCCGGAGTGCTTTTCGTTCATGTGCTAGAGAGAGAACACTTTAAAGGGGAGTTCCCACCGTATCCGAAAGCAGGTATACTTACACAATAGCATGCCTATACAGAATAAATGTTTCACTATATTCATTTTTATGAAACACCTGTTCACATTGCACTTTGTATATCACTGCACATCAAACATATAAATCTTAGTTTACATGTCAGGGTCTGAGGGCCTATATCTTCTAAGGAAACATTACACATAAACATTATGAACATTTGTCTCAATAATATTTTTGCATTGCAGCAACCTTTTTGTAAAAGCACAATTGGCAATAAGCACAACCTTTCATACCTAGTTGTTTAAGTAAAGTAATTATTTCATTTCAGGTGATTCGAGTAACGACCCCATCACATTTAACACTAACCTTAAAGGCTATCCAGACAGGCCCGGATGGTTGCGGTACATTCAAAGAACCTCGCATAGTGATGGAGTCCTCTATGGCTCTCCAACAGCTGATCATGTGGGCAAGCCGACCATCATCGAGGTGTGTTATCATGTGTAGACTTATTAGAATTAGTTTTCTGTTACATCTGACCTCAAATACACTGCTGTTCAAAAGTCAGTAAGGTTTTTCTTTGAAAGAAATGTATACTTTTATTCAACAAGGATGCATTAAATCGAATACAAATTTCGACACTTATTTGTGTCTAACATGTCGGAAACGCAAAACGTTTCTTGTCTCGTCACATTCAGTTATGCATCACATGAAATCCTGAAATGATTTTTCAAATAAATTTTTTTCATTAAAACACCGATTTGATTGAAAAAGTTGAGTAGTTTGCATCACTTGATATTACTGTCAGACAACATTTCTATCATAAAACAGCTGTCAAACTATAAATATTTAGCTACTTATATCTTACCATGTTTTTTTACTCCCTTAAAACCTCGTCTTCTGTGAATAGTAAGGCCTGCCTTCTTAAATTTGATGGACCATCTCAATAATTTTGACAGTGACGAGCACTGTAGACCTCTGAGGCAGTCCAGCCTAAAAATTTTACTTTTAAAACTTTTTTTTCATCCTAAAACAACTAACAGAGAAGTGTGTAGAATATCAAATATTGGATTATATTAGATATGGATTTGACCATTTCTAATTATTGGGGTAACTTCAGTGTCTACTGTGGCTACGGCCCTGTTTTGTTTTAAATAAGTGTTAAGTAATTAAATCTTTTCTTTTTTTTCTAGGAAAATAGAAAGTAACAGGGCAAAGTTGAATTTGTATGCATAAGAATGCTTATCTCCTCTTTGTGCATTGTTGAGGCTTTAGATTCATGTAAGGATTTGGCTTTGATATTCTTCTATACCCTTGAGAAATATTGTGTTTGCATTTGGTTCTGACATCCTCTGCATGGTATGAATGTAAAGCTGTCCTGAGCTGGGCTTAAACTTTCCCTCTTGTGTGTTGCAGATTACAGCGTATAATAAACGCACTTTTGAAACTGCCAGGCACAACTTGGTCATAAACATCATGTCTACAGAAGGTGAGATCCAAGAGGAGTTTTGATTTAGCAAATCTCATTATAACATACAGCCATATGTTCAAAGAAAGACTCTATTGTTTGACTGAAAACCTTAATCCTAAAGTATGGAAACCATGTGTTTGTGTAAGAATAAACCAGCCAGACTTTGGGTCTTATTCACTAATAATTGCGTGGATTTTTTTAGTATTTTCAACTTCTCATGAAAAATCTCCGCCTAATTTACAACACGTGCGTTCCCACATGAATTTGTTCTTAACCTCTTTCTAATGTTAGTGAATTTGGAGTATTTTAAATGAGCGTCCGTGTGCTCGAGGTTAATCGTTTGCATAAACACGCTCAAACCATCTCCTTTGGTTGGGCTTTCTGCACAATCTTTCCTTTACAGTCTTTCGTCTCACTCTCGCCAGATCCTCGCGCAATGCCAAGTGTGCCATTCTCAAAACCAGTTCAAACACGATAAACACCTTTTATACCGACCCAGATTACAGACCTCTGACTAGCCAGCGATACATACATACGCGTATATCATATAGCTTTATTCAGAGCATCCTCGGAGCTGAAACTATTTCACATCTTTTCTTACTCTTTCACTGTACATGATTAAATATATAAGATGAAATTAAATTGTATGATTTTGTCATTTATATAATATAATATAATATAATATAGTCATGTAAATATAGTTAAATATAACTTTTCAACAGGCCACACAGTGTAAGTGCTTTTTGCGTACGAGTGGTTTCAGTTGTTCCTATATTTTTTGGTGAATCATCATTTCTTTGTGAAGACGTTGGTACGCAGATTTCACGCACAAATTTGTGCATACGCATGAGACCCATTGATTTCAAGTTATTTTAATATTAGTTGTAAAAGTAAAAAAAAAAACAGATGATATTTTAAACGGCTAATCACTATTATAAAAATTAATTTGTGAAAATATTTGTGATTAACCATTTAATTCTTCTTTGTTTGTGTCAATTAATATGTTAGCCTAATATGCAATTTTTTACTCGGAATTGCATATAATAATACAATTATAATAAAATAGGCCCATATGGTTTACTTTGATGGAGTGAAAATAAATATATAATTAATTATAAATACGTTGTAATGCAGTCTGATTAAACCCACAAACCGTTTTGTATGAAGGAAGACCTTTGACTATCTTTGTGTACTTTACAAATATTTTGTTATATTCTTTGGCTAAATGTGATTGAAATTTAAACTGCGTAATTATTGCCTTTATCTCAAAGCAAATAACTAATATTAGCAGGTCTACAGCTAATAGCGTCATTTGTTTGTATGTTTTAGCAGCTGATTTATATTCACCACATTATATTTGCAAAAATATTGACATTGAATGCTCTGAAATTCCTGTTCAGTTTACTATCTGTGTTTAGCCTTAAGCTGAGCAACTGTTTCAGTGCAGATGTGACCTCACTGTGAAGCAGTCCACCATCTGCCATCTCGTCCAGAAAGAGACACTTCAAAATGACAGCCAACTTATTACCCAACTGTTATGTAGCCTAGTTTGGATTACTTGTAATTGCATACAGGAAGATATGCTCATATCTTTGCTCTCTGGCAGAGTTTCCCTTGCCCTATCAGGCTGAGTTCTTCATCAAGAACATGAACGTTGAGGAGATGTTGGCCAGTGAGGTGCTGGGAGATTTTCTCGGTGCTGTCAAGAACGTGTGGCAGCCGGAGAGACTTAATGCCATCAACATCACTTCAGCGCTGGACCGGGGAGGACGAGTGCCTTTACCCATCAATGACCTGAAAGAGGGGTAAGACTTAAATATTACTGTACACTGAAAAAGAATTAACTAAAGGGGACATATTATGCCCTTTTACAAAGACTTGATTTTGTTTTGGGGCTACTAGAATAGGTTTTCATGCTTGAATGTTCAAAAAACTCCTTATTTTTCACATATTTGACATTGTTGCAGCACCTCTCTCCCCAGTCTGTCAGTAACGCTCTGTTTAGTTCCTGTTTCTATGAAGCCCCTCCTTCTGAAAAGCACAATGTGCTCTGATTGGTCGGCTGGACCAGTTGGTTGTGATTGGTCAACCACTTCAGCGTGTTTGGGGAAATGTCACGCCCCCTTACCATAACTGGGAGTTTCAACACATTGCTAACTCATCCAGTCCTCACCCCCTTTATTTTGCATATGCCTTGTGTGGGAATTATTTAAATGAGGAATATTGTGCTGTGTTTGTTCCTGAAAGAAAACTCAAGACTACAATGGAGGCGTTTCAGGGAGTTCAGAAACAGTATGTCTCTGATATAGAGAATAAACCCTTTGGACGGCCTTTGTAACTTTGCAGACCTATCATGACAGTAACATTACATATGAAGAAAGGTGAAAATGTACAAAAGCATAATAGGTCCCCTTTAAACAGCTTATTGGCACAGAACTTGAGCATATTGTGATATATATCAACAAATATGAGATGTAACGTTCTTGAGAAACCTTGAAAAAGAGAACATCCTGTCAGAGAAGGCAGAAAAACACTGTTTTGGGCTGTGGTGAATTTACGTAAGGGTAGAGGCTGCCCATCTCTGTTCACGTTTCTTTAGAGGAATTCCCTCATGCGTTAGCATAAGTTGTTCATCAAATATTCATGTACTCCTTACAGAAGATAAAATGTTCCAGATGAAGGCATTTTAGAAGGTCTCAGAGCAGAAAACACATTCATCTAGGCAGACAGATTATGTATAGTATCCATATAGTCCTATTGTTGTTGTCTTTATGCTTTATTTCTGTGCATCATGGTTATGTTGAGTGTTAATTCAAACGAATATTTGTGAACATTGTGCTTAAACGCTTGCTCTTCATTAAGCCTCTGTGATGTTCAGTGTGTATGTGATGGTGGGAGCAGACGTGCCGTTCTCGTCATGCCTTCGAGAGGTGGAGACCCCACAGAACCAGCTGCGTTGCAATCAGGAGATGGAGCCCGTCATCAGCTGTGATAAGAAGTTCAGAGCTCAGTTCAACATCGACTGGTGCAAGATCTCTCTGGTGAGCGCCAGGTCTCCAGTTCACCATAGAATCCACTGTTGTGTGCAAATAAACATGGCATTTGCTTTTAGAGGCACTTTTATATATATATAAAAGACCAGGGACAATTGTTTGGATTTTATTTTATTTTATTTTTTTCTCCATCATCTCAACTCACATATTACTCCAACTCTACCTTATATCCAACTTTTGGTAGAAAAAACATTTAGCTGTTTGTGCCAACAGTAACTTTATTATTAACAGACTTACTGAGAAAGACATTATAAGCATTTACATTTTTACATGTAATAGCAGAACATTCAGTTACGACTTCAACTATTATTGAATAATAGAATTTTTATCATATTTAAAGCAAAATTCTAATTATATTAATTCTAGTTTATAAATTATTTTAAATAAAATACATTTAAAACTAGCTACTTTGAGGAAACATTGCTCATTGCACATTTAAAGATTAAATGTTTCAAATTGTAATTATTACATTTTGGTAATTCTTAACAACCTAGAGATAAAGTAAATATTAGATTAATGTTAGAGGCATCAAACATTAGATGGCAAAATAAAAATATTGGACGTACAAAAACATCATTTTTCTACATTACTGTTCAAAAGTTTGTGGTCAATAAGATAAAAAAATATGTTTTATTTTGCAAGGATGCATTAAATTGATTAAAAGTGACAGTAAATACATTTATAATGTTACAAAAGGTTTCTGTTTCAAATAAATGCTGTTCTTTCTATTTATCAAAGAATCCTCAAATAAATGCATCACAGTTTCCACACAAAAATATTAGACAGCACAACTGTTTTCAACATTGATAATAATAAAAAAATGTTTCTTGAGCCCCAAATCAGCATATTAGAATGATTTCTGAAGGATCATGCGACACTGAAGACTTAAAAATATAGTAATAATTTAACCTGTTAACTGTCACCCCCCTTTTTTTTGCATAGACATAAAAATCACTATCCAAACTTAAATGGTTGTAATTCAGGAATGCTTTGGAATATAGACCTATGGCTGGTCTTGTTTTAAAGAAGACATTTTCCAGATTATTGTAGTCTAGAAGTCTAGAAATTGTAAAAAATGAAACAGAAAAAAAGTTATATAAGTTTGAGTTTATGAAATTGTGTAATGTAAAAATATGATGATTAATATTTTATATAAAATATATATATTACAAAATATATTTTACTCTAAAACTGCAAGAAAATTAAAGTAAAAAATCTGAACAAGTTGTATTCCAAATTTTAGGTTGATATCTCAAAAAATGAGCTTTCAGTAAGATTTTATTTGGGCGCAGTACCCAACTTTTTCACTAGGTGAACACCAGACTCCATTACTGCCCATATAAGGGCGCCTCCATTTTCATATGTTTTGAGTGATCTGAACCATGTATTTCCATAATTTTCATACAATTTATGAAGTAGACATCATATTCAGAAGTAGTATGGGTGGTTTGGCAGTATTTGATTTGAATTAAACCTCTAATAAATGCATAAAGACTACGTTATAGCGTTATAGCTCGCAGCCGCATCACAAATCGAGAATCCATACATTTTTCTTTATATTTAAAACATTTTCAGACCTTTTTTTCTCATAAAATGGAATTGGTGTTATCTTTTGAACTCATGGCATGAAAACAAACTGAGGTTTCTACCAATCTTTCATGATTTTTCATGTTTATTGTTATTTCAAAATAAAGGCCTAAATACTCCTAATGAATATGAAATATTCTTGTTGCAAATTGATAAATTTCTGCTCCTCTGTAATATATTTTAGATAACAGCCACCAAATATGAAAACTAGAGATTTTAAGCTTTCAAATGATATATAGTTTGGCAATATTACTTTAGGTTTTTACTAAGATAATATTGTTTTAAACATGCAATGGCAAATGGGCCCGCCGGCGGCAGGTTAAGAGGTAAAAAAATTAAAATTAAAATAGAAAACAGTTGTTTTAAATTGTTATGATATTTCACAATATAACAGTTTTTACTGTATTTTCGCAGGCTTGGTGAGCATAAGAGACTTCTTTCAGTAAAATTAAAAAAAAATCTTACCGTCCCCAAACTTTTGGACGGTAGTGTGCCTCAAAATCAACTTTTTTGGAGAAACGAATATATACGCAATATATTAATTCTGTAACAATGTGAAGCATTTTTTCTTCTGAGCCCAGTTTGTCTTTGCTCTTGAAGGTGGACATCACTAAGGTTGTTCCTGTGCACAGTAACCGTCCTGACCCGGGCACAGGTGTGCTGCCAGACATCGGCGAGTACAACCCACCTTCTGAGTTACTGAAGAGTAGAGACTATTTCGCTGACTTCCTGATCACCCTGGCGGTGCCCTCAGCCGTCGCCCTGGTCCTCTTCATCATCCTCGGCTACTCCATGTGCTGCCGACGGGAAGGGCTGTAAGTTCGCTGTGCTAAACCCTTAGGGAAAGTGAATCTTTCACACACAAGCAAGCACAAACCTGCTCTTATACTTAATACTTGTACTCAATGGCCACTGTTTAATGATCAACATTTAAACGATAGATTCCTTTTTGATCATTATGAACCACGTAGTGCCAGTATGGCGTCTTTTGAATCAATTAAGTGAAGATCACAAGGGCTTTCTAGTGTGTACAGCCAAATTCTGAAAGGCAAGACAGGGTCGCATCCCTGCCAAAAAGCAGCTTACCATCCTCATCAAGCATCAGTTTTTTTTTACCATTTAATCATTAACCAAAGCACACTCAGTCCAAAGGTTCCATCTGTTGTATTTAGAGCCATTCCGACAGATGTTTCGTCCACATGATCAACCAATCCCAGTGTGTTTCCTGATGATGTCACTCACCATCAAAGCTCAGCCTGAAGGAGATCATCATCATCATCATCATCATCAGCAGCACCCCTCCATTCCCCTCCTGACTCGCTCTCCATTGGCTTTTGTGTGGTTGTCTTTAACTATTAATATTAGAATTTAATTCAGTCATTTTGTTTTGTTTCTAGGGAAAAAAGAAACATGCAAACACCAGAGTAAGTGTGCCCTCTCCTGTGGTCTTGGCCTTTTCTTTCTCCTTCTCTTTTCTTTGGATAGGTCCCCCTTTCCCACGTTATGTTATCTCAAATCCTCCATCATGGTGACATGTTCATTTCCATCTCATTCATACAATCGCCTCTGTGTCTCCATGGTGTCATCATGGGCAGCTGCTTCAGAGACAGAGATATATGCCAGCTTATTATAATTATAATAAATAATTCATACTGTGGAACGAGGTAGTGTGATAAAAGACATACATATTCATAATTAGCCCTTTTTTTTAGTAATTTCGTTATGTGCTTTAATATTTATAATATTTTTAAATATTGCTATTTAGGTTTTCCACCGTCAGTTTTGGTTTTAGTTTTTATTTCTTTACTGTTAATAACTTCAGTGTTTCAACTTAAACTTATTTCAGTTTATTTCCAAGATTTCGTTTAGTTTAAGTTTTTCAACTAATATTTATATTTTATTACATTTTAGCTTTATCTCAATTAACAGAAATGCCGTTAATAGTTTTAGATAATAACCCTGAACCATGCGCTATGCTAGTACTTCAGTGTTTACATAAATGTTAATCGGTTGCTTAATCAGATATTCTATTATACTTTTTGTGCATGTATTTGCTATAAATAGTAATTCGGTTGCTCCCTCCATTCCCAGTATTCAGCTGGTTCACCACAGCTCCATTCAGAAGTCTTCTAAGGAGCTTCGCAGCATGTCTAAGAACCGGGAGATCTCGTGGCCTCTCTCGACACTGCCGGTCTTTCACCCTGTGAGCGGAGAGGTGGTGCCGCCCATCCACCCCGACAACTACGAGACCACCAGCATGCCACTCATGCAGACGCAGACGTGAGTCTGGCACTTTTGCTTTAATTCTGGGGGGAAAGTAAGGCACAATTCTTGTTTGGCAATGGCAGATCTGGTTTAAGAAGAGTTGAGAAAGTAGGTTGCTGTAATCCAATGTTTATATCTTTAAAAACAAGCTTGAATCACTCAGTACCCTGGTATTAACTCACTAAGGACTTGAAGAGCTTAGAACAGATCAAAAACAACATATGTGTATTATCATCAGCAAGATTGACCTAGAAATTATGTGCTGAGATGATGCAGAAAATGAGTTGGGATGGGAATCATTGAACAATTTTGGTTCCTTAACGGTTGCATTAATGATTCTACTTTTACGAAATATATATTTTGAAAAAGAAATTCAGTTCCATTGCCAACTGTGTAATAGATCATTTTTTTATAATAAAGAAATTTAAAACAATTCTTGCAAAAGAGTGTAATCAAATTACTGGCTTTAACTTTATAGAATTAATATAATTAAATATATTAAATAGAATTATAGAATTAAAACTCAGTCATTTGTTTAGAAGTTGGAGCCATTAGTTTGTGAGTTGGACACTGATCGCAATGTCTCTTTTGTGCAAGAAATCCTTTTTTTTTTATGCAATTGAACATCATTCTGGCATTTTGTTTTTATTAATGAAATTGGTTCTGAATCCCAGAGTGCTAGTAATGCCCATCTTGACCAAAGCTTTGTGTTTATTCACAGAAATCTTCAAAATCAGATCCAAATACCACAGCAGCAGATCTCTGGTAAGTTGAAGAATCTAATACTGATGTGATCCCTAAGCTTTCCATCCCATTGGTACGGACAGATATAGATTTTAACTTTTTTTAACAAAACAAAAACAAATGTGGTCATTCTTCTTTCAGAGAGCCATGTTAATTGCAGTTTTGGTGCTTTAGGGCTAGATTTACTAAACAGATCAAATTAGTGTGTGACCGCAATCCATTACAAGTTCTGTGGGGGATTTGCGCATTTTCGCACATTAAAGAACAGAAGCAGTCGGATCATTTCCATAGTGACTAATGCGACCTATCAAGAGCAGCGCAAATTCACGTAGGGTCGCAAACAAACAGAGCCAATGATAATTAGGCAGTGTTGGGAACGTTACATTTTATAAAAGTAATTAGTTATAGTTACTCACTACTTGTTCCAAAAAGTAACTGAGTTAGTAACTGAATTACTCTATAATAAAAGTAACTCGTTAACAGGGAAAGTAACTATTTGCGTTACTGTTAAAAAAAAAAGTTGCTATGTCAAAGAATTTTAATTTTTTTTTTGAGCAGTTTTCACAAGTCAGTTGAAATGAGTAGAACAGACTGGTGTTTGTACATAACTTTCTATATTTATTGCATGTCGACAGTCAGCAAGAGGTTTATCCTGCACTTATTAACCCACCTCCTCATTAGCTGTGTGACCCAGGGGTGCGTTCGGATTACACAGTTTATTCAATCAATACATAGTAACGCACATAGGTGTCGATTTTGAGTCATTTTGTACCACTTTTAGAAACAAATAAATAAAACATCTCCAGTTAACTAGCAGAGCATTCATTTGGTTTGCTATTAAATAAGAGATCTAGTGTTAAATTGTTTTGGTTTTGAACTCAAGCTGAGCGCTCGTGGCCGCTGCTATCAGTTGCATTGTTCTCTTGTGGCGCGCGCGCAGTCTTCACTCGGACGCGCTCTTCAATCTATCGCCGTTGTGGAGACTCTCTATTCATTCTGGTGAAATCACAAAATAAAATGCACACAAACGTGTCCTTGCTTGATATAGACTGTAACCACTGATGAATATATTCAGTTTTGATGAGAGAAAAAAAACACCTATTCGATCGTGGATTAGAACCCGTAACCTCTGACACGCTTGGCAAAAGATCTACCACTAGACCATTTAAGAACTCAAACAATAATTGCGAATCGATGGACTTATTTACGGGTTGAGCAGAGAGGCTGCAAAGTTTGTATCCAGCACTTCTGAAAATGCACTTCCGAATGCGTCTCTGTCCCCAGCACATTTCAAACCAAACTGACGCCCGTGGTAACGCACCGCATTTAACGTCCAGTAACGTTAACGGCGTTGTAACGACGGGAAAAGTAATTAGTTAGATTACCCCGTTACTGAAAAAATAACGTCGTTACCTAACGCTGTTATTTTAAACGGCGTTCTTCCAAACACTGTAATTAGGTGCGTGTGATCTACTAACAACACAGGCGCAAAGTGGCTTAAGGAAGGGTTGGTGATTTTCAGAGAGGCTAGCAATAGCGAACTAGCTTTGAAAGCATAAGATCCCACCCTCCCTTCAGAGCGTCTCCAAAGCCACACCTCCTTCAAAACACATGAACGCACAGTTTGCAAAGCGTCACGAGAGACGGCGTTAAACTACCTCATGTCTCAAAGCACATAATATTACAATTACAATTAACATAACTTAAAGAGCACTGACCTGTACCACCTGACTGCTGCAGATTCATAGGTATGGAAATACATATCTTGACAGGCAGGTAGGACTTTGTTTCATTGCGTTCAGAACATATGTATCAGGATGTGAAGAAACTTTCAACCAGCATAACAAAAAAAACATTTCTAGAACAAATCACCTACCCTGCCTTTAAGACATGCTTTTTGGGTGTTAAATAATGGCCTAAACCTTAGTAAATCATGTTGCATGGTTCATTTAAATCCTCTCCCATAAATATTGCCTCTGAAAGGGAAACTCCTACAAATGCATAATCAGTGAGGTCAGCCGCAAAAAATAACTGTGTCCAAGCCTTTTCAGCGCTATTTTTTCACGGTGTGCCTCTAGTAAATCCTGACTGTAGTTTTTTAATGCCAAAAGAGGGGTTGTGTTGGGGCAAACCGTTAGTAAATCTGGCCCTTAGTCTCTGGCGAACCCCAGTGTCCACATAATGAACTGCCATCAGACGTCTGTGAAATCTCTTCCTGTCTAACATACTGTTCATTCATTCATGCTAACAAAGGAGATAATTATTGTATGTCAACTTTTCGGAGGCTAGAGGCAAGTATTACTCTTTGCATCTGCGATCATGTGTTTAAAAAAAAAAAAGGTATCAGATAAACTGTTTCATGTTTCTGAAATGTTCCTCTCGTTATAGGTAAATGGTATTCCTGAGGAGAGAAAGGTGGCCGAAGCTCTAAACCTGTGATCTCATCCGTCTTTTTACGTTTGTACCTGTTTAATCCTGCCAAATGTGCATGTCTAGCTGTGTTCTCATGCACATATCTGAAAGAACAACATTATTCAGTGTCAGAACAACTAATGTTGATATGGGCACATTAAAAAATATACTTTTAAAATAGTATCAACATCAAAGGTACACTATGTAATTTTCAAAATGTATATAATAAGCGAGTACATCATTAATCCATCTTCCAAACTGCGTTTTTACCTTATCCCGAGTCACTACGGTATGCCTATAATAAATGTTTATATTGGGACTATTTTAGATGGAGTGGGACGACGACCGTGGAGTATCCCAGTACTTGCGTGACTCGTCATAGACATAAACAGAGAGAAGTAGCTCCGGCTACAGTGTTCATCCACAAGACGCATGCAGTTTTATTAACCGCTAGAGTGCCAAAACTTACATAGTGTACCCTTTAAATATGGACTGGAGTCAAACTTTTTTACAAAGGTGAATAAACTCACTTTTTGCCAAATACCAGTTGTCTTTGGCCTACCACTAATGGAGGCACATTTAATGAGATCTTAACAGGTTGATATTGTTTGTTTTGTTCTTACAGTATACGAGTAAATATGTTTTGATAAATAAACTAATACACTTGCCACTACATAAGATTGGCTCATGTTTGTTCTGGGGGTGCGAGTGTAGATACTTAAACAGAAATGAAAATGTTTTTGAGAAGGGATTTATCAACATTGACTTTACAATAAGATGAATGCATTTCCAAATCAAATGAATATTTTCACATTTTTGGACAAAATGTATCGTACACACACAAAACCATTTCCTTTGAGGCCTTTGAAGTTTCTTTAAATAAAACTTATAGCAAACTATACAAATAATTTGTTTTATGAACAAGGTGAAAAAGACAAATAAACATTTACGGTCAGTTGCTTGAATATGCCAGTTGATGGCAGGCTGTACACATTTTGCTTTGCTTAGAAAAATGCATTTTCACTAAAGCAAAAAAAGAATATACCTTGTAGCTGCTTTTAAATTCACATATATTAAATTAAAAATGTAATAGTTTCATAGTAAATGCAACTTTTCAACCAAAATGTCAGTATTTGTGACTAGAAAGAATTGCCACCATGGAAATTATTAGGCTGAATACAGCCTCAAACAATATGCCTTGTCTCAATGGCACATAATGAAGGATCTATTTACAGCATTATCATTTAACTGAGAATTAAATTTAACTCTTTTTTTACATGTAATATATTTTTTTTAAAAACAAAAAAAACATCAAGTTACACATGAACATCAGGCTTCAGTTTCCGCAATTCAAGCAGTTGGAGAGGGTATGAAGACGCACATTAAACAATAAATAATGAGGTCAGGGATCGTAGACAAAACTGGCTCTAACATTAAAGGGATAGGCCACCCAAAAATAAATTTTTGTCCTTACTTGAGGGTAAGTTGTTCCTAACCTGTACGAGTTTCTTTCTTCTTTTAAAAAAACAAACGATATTTTAAAGAATGTTGGTAATCAGACTTTCTTTAAACATTCTTTAAAATATATTCTTTTGTGTTCAACAGAAGAAGCTCATACAGGTTTGGAACACCTTAAGGGGGAGCGAGTTCATTTTTGGGTGAACTATCTCTTTAAGCTGAATTCATATGAACAGAATAAACCCATGTGGTAAAAATAAACGAACAAATAACTGGCACAAATGCATAATGTTCTGAATCTGTCTGAACAAATCTGACATTGATTTTGTCTTAATAGTTTACATTTCACATCAAATGCTGTTCCTCCAGTAAATGAAAACATTCTGACGGAAGCAGAATGTGCTTATGGATTCCCTTAGTAGTGGCACCACCCCGTTTTCCACATCTCGCATACATATTGATGCAGGCAGAACAAATTCGCTGCCATTGAGTTCATTTTAAAAGAGCAATAAATGGATTTTCACGTTTCAATAATCCAAAGGTTGGAGGTTGTTCACCTGAAGGATAAAGCTGCTGGTGTGATAAGAATTGAAACTTTTTTTTTTGTACAGAAATGTTTGGTGCACGAGCCGATGGCGCGCTGTCAGTTTTATAAGGAATGTATTACTCCTTCACATTTTGCAGTCGTGGGCATCAATTACAAAACAGAATGGGAAAACAATGAAGAGACACAAACACAGACCCCCAGTATAAAATATTAACATAAATTATTAAATACTGCCCATAAAACACACCTCAAAGCTATGAGAGAAGAGCGGACGGAGCACAGGTGTACTTGACTTATCTGCACACAGTCTGTGTGATTTGTCTACTGCAAACAACCTGCTTAAGAATCCTTCTTTAATCACTGTTGCTCCTGAGTCCTTGGCTTCCGTTCCAGCTTGAGTTTTGTATACAGACCAGTGCCGTAAGAATTCCCTAGATCGACTCGTAGGAAAAAACGTTCTAGGCTGGTGGAGTTTATTTGTTTTATACACACAGATCTATTAGGATCCTGTTACTCTTTTTGGGACAGTATCAGTACCAGCGCTAGAAAGACTCCTGCAACCAGCAGTCTCTTCAGTAGAGTCCCGCTCTCTTTAGGAATGACCACCTGGGCCAAGTCATTGGTGATCTGGGAGATCTCATGAGCTACACAGACAAAGATGAATGTGCTGACGATAATGTTTAAGGAGGGGTTTCCTGGAATGAGGACCAGGATGCCCTTGGTGTCCGCTGCCAGCCAGATATGATACTGGCATATGAAGAGCTGGAGGGAAAACAAGAAGCATGTTAGAATGGTTGCAATAAACTAGTTTGTTAAAGTGCCCCTATTATAACGTTTTAAAGGTTCCTGATTTTGTTTTGGAGGTCTGCGTTACATGCATCCAAGGACAAAAAAAACCCAAAAAACTTTATTTTTCCTCATAATGTACATTGCACGTCACCTCTTTTCTAACAGTAGCTATGTTTCCATCCACACGTTTTTATCCGCATTAAGTGATATCGAATGAAAAATGCCTTATGGAAACAGTAAAATTCGATTGAATTTCATGAATATCGACTCAAATGAAATACGATCGGTCTCATCGGATTTTATCTTGATCGATAAACGGCTTATGCGATAAACGCGGATGGAAACGTTATTATGGTGCGATCCATTTTGCATAGTAAAACTTTGTTCGCAAATGTTGGCTTGAATGTTGTGCAATTCGGTGAGAAATTGAATGGAAACACCTTAACAAGTCTCAAATCAATTCGATATACCAATTTGATCGCAAAACAGCATGTGACGTCATTACGCACAGGTTTTTATCCGCTTTAAAACCGTTTGATGGAAACACACTTTCACCAGCTTTATTCGCATGAGGTTTTTTTTACCGAACTTCAGATAATTCGATTGACAAGTGGATGGAAACATGGCTACTGTCTGAAACTGTTCGATCAAAGATTTAGAGAGAGAACTCTGATTAGCTGTTCAGTTTAGTGAACGAGTCAGTGCACAAGAAAAATAGCACAAAACAGCGAGCAAAGAAGACGGTACATAGGCAGTTCTAATTTTACGTCATCTTACCCGAGTGTTCCTGGGTAAATATTTTCATAATAACATGAGCCGAGTGGAATAAAGAGAGTGATCAGCATGACTGATATTCAAAACGGTAAGCAAGCGCTGCTTTGTTTACGGTTTGTCTATCTGCAGCCAGAAGAGTCGATTTCCCTTTGAATGAGGAATATATACAAATATATCTGCAGAAATCTCCTTTACACGCCGGCACAGAACACGCATACTAGCTGACAGCCTGCTGTAGTCCTTTGAGTGTGTTCAAGCAGAGAAAAATTGCCCAGACGTGAAGCGACAACAGTCGGCTTTCATCACCCCCTTTCTATACTATACTTTGATTGGTCAGACGGCCCAGTCTGTTGTAATTGATCTAGCATTTACAGCGCGTGTTGGAAACAAAACTCCCATTACCATATCTGAATTTCAGCTCCAGAGGCTTCCTCAGTACTTGATTCCAAGTGATACAGACAGTAACGATACAGTCAGTTTTACCGTATCAATTCCTCATCCTTCTGAAGTGCATGCAAAGTCAATTTGCTCTCGCAGCGCAGAAAACAGCATCTTCTCAACATGACGACAACACGAACCAGGGCGTTTTCACACTGTACACGTTTGCTGGGCACGATTGTTCCTGGCGCCCCCCGCAGTGTTGGTCTGGTTTCACACTCAGCTTGATTCCATCGAACCCTGGTGCATTGGTGTTCATCTTTTTGATGTTTCCATCTTTTTTACGTTTGTCAAAATAGCGAACAACTTGAACACATTGAAAAATCTGTGTTGGGGAATCTATTGACCTCATGTGATGTAATTAACGGATTGCGTGGATTCCTCCTGACTGGATTTCTTCCTCAGAATTTCGCCAAACAACTGTAAATGCAACCTTAATACTTACGTATTAATATTGGCTAAACATTCAAAACATTAGAATAGTTTATTTCCAGCATATTTTATTCAACATTGGTGCCTGCTGGCCTACTGGACTTCCATCAGATTTTACTGTAGATGCATTCCCTGTTCATTTTGTACTGAAAGAGGCACAAGTTGGAATCGTCCGTCCTAATCAACCGTATGCCGAAAATATGATCAATATGACGTTGACAATAACCCAGAGTATTCTTTTAAATGTTTGTTTGCAGCGAAGCTTGCACTCTCACCTCTAGGGAGATCTTTCCAAACCATGCAAAGAATGAGCTGTACAAAGAGCGAGCGTAACCAGGAATATTCCGGATCAAAATGAAAGCCAGAATCTGTGGGCAGAAAAAGCGCAGTGATAAAAAGTCAGCAGCCTCAAAGGCACAACAGAACAAACATGGATCCATTATTTTAGGTTGCAAATGCTCTTTCTGTTCTCATAAAAGCCATCTGACTGTGTGAATCAACTGTGATAAAAGGTTAGTGTGGTCAAGAAGAGTCAAAAGATTTTTTTTTTTTTTTACTTCTCTTTTCAAGTGTTGGTTAAAGCGGTGTACAACTTAAGAGGACATAGTGGGATGGGTACTTGCCTGGACAACAGAAATGTATGGATGCATCTCATTACACTCAGACTTGTTTTTGCACCCACTGGCCCAAATGGAGTATGTCTGTAAACAAAAGAATCCATTGTGAAGAAATCATATTACCATTTAAGTGTCTCGAAGAGAGACAGAATAAGCCTTACCAAAAAAGAAACCACAGAGATGAAGAGCAGACAGTTGGAAATCTTGTTGGAGAAGAGAGGCTCTCCTTTGCCTTCAGACAGCAGCTGACATTTCTGCAGCAGCAGGTATATGAAGGCAAAGAGCATCCCATTGATCACAGCCTAGCATCCAAAAGAGCAAAGATTACTTCAAGATGTGAATTTGAGAAATGTTTTACAGGTCTTATTCATTCAAATGAAAGTATTTTACGTACAAATCGATCAAGTTTCCACCTGAACCACCACTCATGGATGCTACCTTGCAGTTCAAAGAGCTTTGAAACGGGCCAAACAGAGAAAACACTCTCAAAGAGTTCCTGCAACAAACGCAAAAGATTTAGATGCTCTCATTTATTTTGATGGTCCACTTTAGACATTCTACTAACTATAAGTAACTTTGCAACTGCATGTCAACTACCAGTCATTAGAGACTGTCTGCTTATTATCTGTTAACACTTTATTTTGATGCTGCCCAACAGACATTATACTGACTAGAAGTCATTTTGCAAGTACGTCAACTTATTCTCCTAACCCAAACCAAACAGTCTACTAATACTCCAATGCAAGTTGGTTGACATGTAAATGCAAAGTTACTTATAGTTGGTAGAATGTCTAAAGTGGACTATCGAAATAAAGTGTAACCAAAAATGTATAGCAATACTGTCTAACGGTCTTACTGTAAGAGAGAAACTCACTTGTGAGTACGCAAAGAAGCAGATGAAAAGAAGCAAACCCAGAAGTTTCAACAAGAGTGCCAGATTCCAAAATGCACTACCTGTACGTAATTGAGGGGAAAAAAAAGATAAAACAATATTTTAAGGCTTAATATATAAAATCAAATAGATTGTTTAGAGTGTACTAAATGAATAAATGCAAACATTGTAATATGACTTACCATTGGCTTGCATCTGAAGAATCTGTGGCCACCATGCCATTGTGGCATAAATAACTGCAAACCAAAAGGTGACAAGAGGCACAAAGTAATAGAACTGATAAGGTCTGTCCATAACCAGACACAGCACCACCACAAGAAAGTTAAGCCTGAAGAGAACCTAAGACAAAAAGAAAGGACTCATTATTTATATCAATACAATATTACAGTTCAATTTTTATTTATAAGCCACATTTAAAAACAACCAAAGCTGACCAAAGTGTTGAGCAGAAAAGAAGAAAACTAAGAAATAGAAACAGGAACACACAACAACAGTAAAACAATAAATCAAGCCAATTATCAAGTATTGAAAGCCAAAGAGAATAAATATGTCTTTAGAGCAGATTTGAAGGCGGAAATAAAGGGAGCTAATCTGATGTGAAGAGGTAGACTGGACCTGTAATCGCAAACGCGCGATTGCCTCGTTTATTAAGTCTAGATCTGGGCACGATGAGTAGACAGAGATCACTGGATCTCAGAGTTCATCATACTGTGCAATTATGCATTATTATTAGCATGTTCACTGATTAATAAGTTTGGTCACATCTACTTTAAAACAACATTTTTCTACATTGCACAATAACAGAAAGTCAACAAAACTATAATATAGCTTTAATAAATAGTATGTTATACCCTACTGTTCGAAAGTTTGGGGTTGGTCAGATTTTTTTTATGTTTTTGAAATAAGTCTCTTATGCTTACCAAGTCTGCCTCTGATCAAAAGTAGAGTAAAATATTATTATTATAAATTAAAATAATTGTTTTCTATTTTAATATATTTTAAAAATGTAATTTATGATGCAAAGCTGAATTTTCAGCATCATTACTCCATCATGTGACACATCATGAGTGTCAGATGATCCTTCAGAAATCTGATATGATGATTTACTGCTCAGAAAACATTTATTATTATTATAAATGTTAAAAACAGTTGTGCTGCTTAATAGTTTTTGTAGGAAAATGTGATACTTTTTCCGGGCTTGTTTGATGAATTAAAAATGTAACATTTTTTAAATAGAAATCCTTTGTAACATTATAAATGTTATGTTATACTGGTACTTTTGATCAATTTTAAATGTCTACTTGCTGAAATAAAAGTATTATTTTCTTTATTCAACCAAAACCATTTCAAACCACTCAAACTAATGTTTTCGGACTAAAACAATTTAACTATAACCAGTTTACATTTGACATTATTATTTTTTTGACACTGGTGCATATAGGAAAAAAAGATCACCAAAGTCAGGCAACAATTACCTGACACACTCTGTAAATGCCAAAGTCTCCCTTTAGCCAGAAGAATGAGAAGTGTCCATATCCTGTTTGGAAGAGATACGCAGCCACCAGGACACGGACATGCATGTACACAGGTATGAACTGAGGAAGCAAAGAGATAAAAAAAGGAGATTGAGAGTGCAGTCACTACTAAAGCAAAGTAATCCAAAAAAAAAAAAAAGTTTTTTAAAACGTACAGCACTAGCTCCAGAAATGTGATAAATTAGGATAACCAGCTGCATCCAGCCCTTCCATTCGTCTGTTTGCTCTCTGTTAAGGAGTTTTGTCTGGAAAGAACATTTTTAATTGTTTGAGAATCGGTATGGATACTCTCTTTTGGACTAGAAAAACAACAATTTCCCAAGAGTCTGTGTTACCTCTTTGCTGTTCTCATTGTAGAAGATGCCCAGAACGAAGATGTAGATAAGAGGGATGAAAAAGGTAGAATGTGTGTAGAATTTCTGTTCCTTCATAAAGATGTCTGCCCTGTCGCACATGTAGAAGTACAACATGATAAGGCTCATTTTGCAGATGGCCAGTAAAGGTCCCTTTAGGTTGAGTTGACCCACAACAGAGGGTTTCTTCTCTTCTCCGCTCTCCACATCAGGAGTGGGCCTGCTCTTATGATGTCTACTACAGCCCAGTAGGAGGAAGCAGATGATGGACACCAGGAAGAGACCAGCAGCTAGCTTCTGAAGGACGCTTAGTGGAGGAGCGCTCTGACAGCAAGAGCCGTCGATGGGCTTCAGGATCTTGTTGCACATGGAGTTCATCAGAACCATGGCACCCTGAGAAGAGGGTAAATAATTCCTATTTGTTAAAAAGGATTAAAATGGAACAACTAATTGTCAAAACCAAGGGCGTTTTCACACATGGTAATTTTGCTCGGATCCACACAAAAAAAGTACAAAAATTAGTGCTGTCAAACGATTAACATATTTAATTGCGATTAATCGCATTAATGTCATAGTTAACTCGCGATTAATCGCAATTAATCACACATTTTTATCTATTCTAAATGTCTCTTGATTTCTTTTTCCCTTTATTTTTCTAATTTTAATGCTCTTATCAACATGGAAAAGTGGATCGGCTTGCTTTGTGCAAATGTTTTTTATTGAAAACAACATTGGCATATACTGTGTTCAATTTCACACTAACATTCTCACTTGGAGCAAATAATCTCTCACACAATGTAACACTGTCCATCAATAAAAGGGTGAAAGAAATACTGACGAGGTACTGATATTGACGAAGGGGCGGAGAATTCGCATCAGCTGTGTGTGTGTGTGTGCTTGGCCATCATCAAGTGGTATTTCAGACTAGACGTGCTGCGATGATGATAGCTCAGTTCACAACGACAAAACACACAGATCTCTTTGGTCTTGTCAATGGAACCATTTGGCAACTTTTTAAACGTAAACTTTCCATTCAGAATCTTATTGGCATCCATTTCGGCGTCTCGCGCTCGTCATCCACTCAAAATGTAACGTTAACCAACTATTTGTCCGGCTTCCAAGCCCAAACGAGTGTGTGCGGCGTGCCTGTTGTTTTGTTTCCGGTCTAGCTAGATCCGCTTGCACTTTGGTCGACAAAGCAACAAAACGTCCTCGCGCGGCGCAAGCATAGACTGTATAAAAAAAAAAAAAAAGAAGAAAAAAAAGGGCGCAAGCCATTGAAATGAATGGGTTTCATAGCACAGCGCCGCGCATCCCGCGTCCTGTTGCAAAAGCATGTGAAAAAAAACTACAAAGTTTGCTAGGCCAAAAAAGACCGTTAATCGTGCGATAAAAAAATTAACGCCGTTAAAATGGGTTTGCGTTAACGCCGTTAATAACGCGTTTAACTGACAGCCCTAAAAAAAAAAAAATCGGTCCGAGATCGCCTGCCCTGAACAAGGTGGTCTCAGCCCGCTTAAAAAAAAAAGAACTCTGGATTGGTTCGCTTGTGGTGAGAACGCGATCTAACCCAACAGACCAATGAACCAGGCTGTATCGCAATTTATGATGATTAGTAATTACGTACATTGTGTGAAAAGCAGTAGTGTTTGTTCTGCTTATGCCTCTCAAAATGAATTGTGAGTTAACCTCTAAAGAGAAGTGCGCCTTTTGATTTTAAAATGCTGCTCTTCCTCGAAATAGGTAAGAATGTTGTCCTGACAAAGCCTTGATTCATGCTCTAAATGATAAAGTAATATAACGACAGCTACAAAGAAAGCCAGATGCAGGTGTGCTCTGACCAATGAGAGGACAGTTTACTCAGGTTTTTAATGTTGTTTATTTGTCGAACGGGAACATGGTTTGTGTAATATTAGTAACACATTATTAGCTGTTTGATAAAGTTGTCAAGCAAAAGACTAATCATATCAATTACCGTTATGTGTCCGACGTTGTAGAGAGCGATAAATAAAACGCATTACCATTCTGATACATCGACTTGTAGACGACCCTATATAGTTCGCTTTCCACTTCGTCTTCCGAATCAGTTTCTGGTTCAAACATATATGGCAGAATTTACCCAGTATTTACTACAGTAAAGTTGAGCGAGTGGATAAGGTATTCTGAGCTCGTGCAATTCATATTTACGTATCCGTGAATACCAAATGAAAGGAAAAAAACATTTAAATATGTGATTTTGGTGATCAAAGATGAGTTAACTTTTAAGGGATACAAATATTGACTACAGGGAGACTTATAAATTTTGAGCCATTTAGAAATGGTACATGTAAGATTTTTAATCCCTGTTTTGCAACAAAGCAAAGGTCTACAGGTCTGAAAACGCCCTCAGGCTCAACTATTGACTTACAACATCTCTTGTGCTCTCAGGAAGGTGCAGGCCATCCACCGACTGGGAAATGGTCTCCATAGCAGCTTGCCGAGAAGCCTCTAAGAACTTGACCTTCTTTTTGCTGGTATTTAGAGTACTAACCGCCGCCTCGTTGTACAGATTTATCTGCTCGTTTGTGATCATCTTTCGGCTGTCACTTAGCACATCCTCATAAACAGGATCTAAATAAACAGGCAGAATGTAAACATAAGACAGGCACATGAAGGGTTGTTCCAGTGCATCTGAATATCAAAACTCACCTTGCAGAACCCAATAGACTTCACTGTGCTCGGCTAGTTTTTCCAGTGTGTCTGATATAGCTGAGAGGTTTGCTTTGTACTGAAACAGTGCCTCACTCTTGCCGTTGTGCAACTTAATGGACCACTGTTGAAAACCACAATCATCAGTCAGTAGAATGATTTTCAACAATAGCACCTAAAGGCATCGCGACTGCAAACAGGAACTCACCGTAGCAGCACCAATGATGATGACATGTGGTTTGGAAGCAGATCCCTATAATTATTGAGATGAGACAAGATTCTTAAGCCTATGATTTAATAACCCGCCTAATTTGTATCCAGTACAATTTAATCGTCTTTACCTCTGTCCATAACATTAAGTGCTCCTTCAAGGAATTGTTCACTTCTGCATACCACAGGAAGTCCTAAAAGGTAAACATATGGAACATATTTTGAGTTGTTATATAACAATCAATAACTGTGATGGATCAAGTCCCCAATAAAATAAAACGTTCTGCTGCACCGGACACAATTAATTAAAAATACTTACCACAGTGGAATCACCGTTTACAAAGGGGATGTTTTCATGCTGGTGAAACAATTGATAGAAACAGGAAAAACAATTTTTTTACTCATAATAATTACATATTTATTACCGTTATTGCATCTACTGTAGATTTGTAATAATAAAGGATTAGCATTAAATGTATTGTTATATCGGTAACACTTTACAATAAGGTTCATTAGTTACTGTTTTAACTAACACGAACTAACCATGAGCAATACATTGGTTACAGTATTTGTTCATCTTTGTTAATGTTAGTAAAATAAAAATACAGCTGTTCATTGTAGTTCACAGTGCATTAACTAATGTTAACAAGATTTGAATAAAGTATTAGTAAATGTTGAAATTAAGATTAACAAAGATTATACGTGCAGTTCATTATTAGTTCATGCTAACTAATGTTAACTAATGAACCTTATTGTAAAGTGTTACCGTTATATCTTTATAAAATGCACTATACTTGTTAATTTTGAAAAACAATTTAATATATTTTTTTTTTTACAAACAATTACAAATTATATTTTTTGATACAATATCTTTTTATTAAAGATTATGGGGCACATTTTTTTAATAAAAAAATATGTGCACAGATATATCATTCATAAACACTGGAACATTCCATAAAAATAAGAAAATGTTAGTTTTGATTCCATGGTGGTGATTTTAAATCATGTCAAATGAAGACTCCAGTCACATCAGTGGCCTAAAAAAGTTATTTTATCGTACATCGAGTTTGGGCCGACATGTTAAGATGAATCAGCAACCCTTTGTCAAACACTTTCACTTATAATAAATGAATCATATCTTACAAAAGTAGAAAGAGTCTTCTATACAAAAACGAAAATTATTGCATGCAGGTTAATGTCTATAAACAACTGCTTTTGCCTGAGGCACATTTTGAAATACCAGAGGTAATCTTGTGGTAAACAGGAACAATTACACCCTTTCATTTTTAATTTAAATATAGCCTTTGACTGGCGCAAGTATTAAACTCGCAATTGCTTGGGGGTCATCTAACAAAACACCACTTTGAAGTACATTTTCACTCTGATTTGGAATACATTACACCAGTTAACCAAAAGAAGGCATACTGAAATGAATAGCAACAACAAACCTTGTTTCCAACTTCTTTCACCTCAGGGTTTATCATTTTGATGAAAGAATAGAAGAGCTGACGTATTCTAGAGTCACCTACAAAAGCTATTCTCTTCTCTCTGAGGCAAAGGTTTGCTTCACTGAAAGACAACAAAAAGGACTGTAAATTCCAGCCCACATTTCTACCCCACATACATCGTTGACGTACATTAACTATGACAACATGACTTACGTGCTTTTGTACTTGTGTAGCATGCAACCGTAGGGCTGCCATACATTGTCCCCTAAAAAACGTCCACTGGATAAAAGCCAGTCGCACGTGTCACTGCCTGAAAGAAACGACACATAATTACAGTGAATAAACCAAATTCAGGAAAGGGTCTGTAAGCTTTTATTTCTTTTTTTAAAGGTCTGTCATGAAACTTTAAATAGCGCAGGCTGATAGGTCCTTAAATATATTTGTTAGTGAGATCACATCGTTGTCTTCATAGTGCAGCTGATTGGTTGCTGTGGCATCAGCTCAACATTAAAATACTTGGCATTGTTTGCTGTTAGCAGTCTGCAGCGCGCTTTCAGAAACCCTCCAGCGTCCCCAGCTCCACCTGACTGTATAGATCTGCTACGGGGGTTTCATGTATGTTATAAATGCAGCAGCCGCATGTTTTACATGCTCACAGAAGTATGTCTGTGAATGTATTGGCAGTGGCAAGTCTCTTTACTAGCTCTGCAGCAGCAGCAATAATCAGCAGCAGCAGAATAGCAGATCTATTCTGCCAAGACCAAATAGCTACATTAACATTGCCATATCCATTACCATGCCAATCTCTCTTAAAAGTTGTCATGACATATGTTATTCAGCAAGAATGCCTTCAACTGTTCAAAGATGACAGTAAATACTTTTACACAGTTACAAATTTTGATTTTGATTTCAAATAAATGCTTTTCATTTGAACGTTTTATTCAACAACGAATCCTAAAAAATGTATCACAGTTTCTACAAAAAATATTAAACAGCACAACTTTTTTTAACATTGATAATAAAAAATGTTTTTTGAGCAGCAAATATCCATATTAGAATGATTTCTGAAGGATAAACTGACACTGAAGACTGAATTCTGCTTTGCATCACATGAATAAATTACATTTTAAAATGTAAGGTGTTTTAACTTTCAATGTTTCATTTCTCCATGTGCTTCTCATGCAGCTTCTATGCCAGCATGGAAGAGATAGGATATTTGTTCATATCACATTTTTTTTATTACCTCAGGGCTGATGAAAAATCTGAGGCAATAAAGAACTTGAACTACTGGTCAAACCAGACCAACTGTGGAAACTTGTTTCTTTCATTACTTTATTACAGATGTAAAACTGCATTTAATTAGCATTTCAATTCATTGTAAACACAGTAAGTAAATGATGTGAAAAATGATTGAACAATGATGAAATTCTTTCATGTATGATAAAACAAATATGCACTGCACAATCCTCCTGAGAGATCACAATATTATCAACTGAACATGCCTAAATATTAAGATGAAACCAATAACAATGCTTTAATATAAGGCAACACATGTCAGGACTAGATTAATGATCAACCATGGATTACGGTCCCTCCACCTATAAGCTTTACTGAAGGTAACGTTACCTGAAGTAGACTTAAGAATATAGATACTACAAGCATTGGACTGGATTTCAAAATCTAGTCTACAATTTTGGGGCACTAGACACGCCTATAATGCCCCCAGAATACTACCTAGGCAGTTGATAATGAGATTTAGCCTATTTGGCGCTATGCGTCAAAACATTATGTCTAACTGGAAATGTAACTGTGATAACAGACGCTATAGCCAGCTGGGCGACAGCACTGATTCGAGCGTTGTTCTGGTATTGATTACCTACAGTCTTTGACAGATGAAATGTTGAGCTTCGCTTTAAAAGTGCACACAATAGACGCACGATTTAACAAAGCAACCACAATTTAATTGAGTTTGCAAGACCAAACTGCTGCTGCTATCTAGCAGTGACAGACACGCGCACACGCTGACTGAAAACATTGAGTGACAGCATTAGCATTGATGCTAACACAAACACGCAGCTCTTTCTAGCACACCGCAACACAAACACGTACCTCCATAATGTCGTGAAGCCGAGTGAAACACAGTGAGAAGGACGACGGCGACGACAGACAGCAATTTTGCATTTTTTATGCTGAAATACTGATTTATTTCCCGTTTGCCTAGGCTATAGGCCAGGACCGCCATCTTGGCTCCTCCATGACAACAGGCAGACAGACGAGCTGCAGCGAAGCTGACGGAGGAAGAGCCGAGCGGCGCGTGCGCCTCTGCTTCAGTTTCTGCTGTCGGTTGACCGGAGTCCGATGCTGCTGTTGCATCAACTTTCATATCCTCCTCTCAGGTTTTACTTTCTTCTGCTTACTTTCTTTCACCTTCCGAGTAGCACTGTATTTCCCAAACTACTCCTTTAGTTTCTTTATTACTTTTAACTGCCCGCTGGACTTGTTAAGCTGAAGGAAAACTATCTAGTTAGTCTTTGAACCTTTCCCCCGGTATCCTGAACCGCAAAATAGGCGTTTAATATCCAATATAAATTATTTGTTCAAGACAAACAGCTGTGCAACTGGCAAGTGATATGTTGAATCATCCTCTTCTTTCCTCATCTGCAGTATGTTGCATATCAAGTTGTTCTGGTTGGAACGTTGTGTTGTGTAAGACAAGCACAGTGCCAAACATAGTTTCTAAGGGTGTAAGAAATCACTCGGCTATTATAAAATGGTCAAAAAGACATTTCATGATGACCTAATAGCTCACCAATGTCCTGTCCCTCTACTATACAAACAACTGCTATTCTAACTCGAATTAATTATTATTATTATTATTATTTTCATATAACAGGGCGGACTCACGTAATTGACACTTTTCACACGCCACACATCCTTTTTCACACGCAGAGAAAAATTGCGACGCATAGATGCTTTTGATATGAAACAAATTATCAGCTCTCAGATTGTCAATTTTATATCGAAATTCAAACAATAAATACCGTTTTGGCGCTTTTAAATGTGACGTGACAGGTCGTTGTAGCGCCTCAATTTAAGCGGTACGTGAAACGATCATCTAGTAAATAAAACACGAATGAACAATAGGTATGTTGAAAGACAGACAAACTTACTTAATGTATCCCTCATAGATAATATTTATCAATCATTGATTTTCAACCGCGGAAAGAGGTCAATAAAACAGTTGGAGAACAGGCTATCACAGAACGTTACATTTACCTCAGGAAATCCATTTAGCACTAATGACCATAGCACGTTAGTTGGCTAAAACTTAGCAATAGAGATATTAGTATTTTGCTAAATATGTGCACTATATTACATATTTATTGTATTTTTACTTATTTCATTAAAATATTACAACGTTATTAAAACTAAATTATATTTAATTGAGTTGTAATTGTTAACCTTTAATAATAAAAATTTGAAATGAAAATGAATGAAAAATTTACATCTACTGTACCTAATATGCATCCAAATTGAATTGATATTTAATCAAGATCGGAATCGAATAACAATTGAAATTGTGAAATTTGTGTCAAGCAATAATAAAAACAGTAGCCTACCAGTCATTGTACCATGTTAACATTGTAACATGTTGTCACTAAACCTAGTAAAATTATGTTTAGTAACCAAATGTTTTGACAATCACAATCCATTTATTAAATCCCCCCATCCAACTCTTTGCCTTGCCCATGTCATAAATCCAAATTCCCCTCATACCCTCCCACAGCCAATGGGTGGAGCTTGATCTCTAGCTCCCCCTCTCTTGATGTTACTAGGGGTGGAGCTTTGAAGTCAAGACACATCCTAAACCTAATTAGGCCAAGCTCCACCCTGCTGGACATCATTTGGCTCTGCAGTGAGCACCACTTGGGAAAAACCGGAAAAACCAGTGAGCCTCAGAAGTGTTGTGGAGGCCATCTTCTGGCAAGATGTGGGTATTCATACATCGGGCGTGTCCCACACTTGCGGTCTTTGCACTTGACCTCTTCTCTGCTTGCATGTTTGCTCCAAATATTCAAGTGGGTGTGAAGACCGCAAGTGTTGAACTTTTTATTACTTGATGTGTTACACTATAGTGTAAAAATGCAAGTAATGTTTTTACAGAGCTTTATTTACACATATATATTTTTTAAAAATACTTAGTTCCTGTGTACTGTAACAGGAATGATAAAAACAGTTGTAAATGTTTTAGAAAATACACATAACTCATCTCTGCACCAATTAAATATGCAACACTGCATTTTACTTCAAAAGTTATGGTGAATTCAGGGTGATTGTTACACTTTTTCCCAGTCATTGTAATGGCAAAAGTGTCCCAAATCAACCTGAATTCACCCTATCCCTCAGTTTCACAGACAAGGCTTAAGATATTCCCAGACTAGAATACATGTTTGAGCTGTTTTAACTGAAAGCAACTTGCACCACATATCTTAAAATATGTGCTATTGTTTTGTCTCAAGATGTAATGTTTGTTTATATTATAAGGCACGTTTATATGCCTTCATTTTGGCTTTGTCTAAGCCCTGTCTGTGAAACTGGGCCTATATGTAATATCTAATTAATTTAATTTACACTGGACTGTTTTCCTGGACATCTGAGCATGTGAGTTCCTGAACATGATGAAGGATGGGATACTCTTAGCCTCAAATACTGCTCCAAAGCAGTCAACAGATGATGTGAATTTAGTGTGTGTTAGACCTGAGACAAGTCTTTCGCATTCCCTGTCACTCTATAATGTCCACTATGTTTTTGGACACCACTACAATTTGCTGTTCCCTCCAATTGTGCACTGGATAGGGGTATAAGGGGTGATTTCAGACACAACACTTTTTTTATTAGGGGAGTCTGGGATTGGCTGGCACAGAGCTCATTTCTGGGTCAAAAAATTACAGTACTGAATGTTTGCCCTCTTGAACCTCAACAGATTTGATCAAGATATTGAACAGACAAAACCTGTTTTCTCTGTTTTCTGTCAGATCAAAAACTATTCCTCAAATCATTTAGAGGGAGACATTTAAAAAGGGAAAAATTATGAGTGGTCCCCACTCATAATGTTGGATAACCCTTGACTAAACATCTAAAAGAAATCTGTTGGATAACCCTTGACTAAACATCTAAAAGAAACCTGTTCTGTTTGGGATTGGCACGAATACTATTTGGTGCACAAACAAAGTGGCATTCAATGTTATCTTTTCTATGTACTACACATATTATAAGGCACATTTATATGCCTACATGTTTGGATTCTCTACAAATACAAACATGCCAAGTTGCAGTGACTGCCTTTTTATTTGATTCAAAAGTGAAAATCTTGCCATCTAAAAGCATGCCATGTGAAAACAGAGGAAGATAAGCTCCTTACGGGAATAGACTCAAAGTAATGTTTGCTAAGACAAACACCCATTCTTTGAATAAAATAGAAAACCAATTTCACGTTTTGGAAATAAACACATTCAAATCATTTGCTAGTCAATATAAGAATTAGAAATCAGGCAGACATCCAAAATGCCCAATTAAGTCAGACATCTTTTTCAACATTAAAACAATTAACTCATGGAATAATGTGTTTCGGAACATTGGACATGCTTTATTTTCAGAACTTTTCACAATTTATTTAAACATCTCACATATACAAAATAGGTACAATAAACTTTGTGGTTTGTTTTGAGAGAGTGGCCTCTGCAACCCTTTAAAATGGACGAACGGTGCTGTCAGTATTAACACTGGGGGCGTAAAAGAATGTAATGCCTGAACAAAAGTAAAAAATAAAAAAAAGTCCGAACAAAACTCTGAGAAAACAAAAACAAATGAAACAAAAAGTAAAAACCAGACAAAACATCAGGTTTGGGAATATTCCACCTGCTTAAAAATGGGGTTATCAGGGGGACCTGTGCAATATTCCTCTGAGACAATACAAAGTAATACAGTAACAGTGGTTTTTTTTCCACAGCTGCATGTTTAGCACCATATAATATCACTGCTTCAAGTATTGGAGCACCTTTGAAACAGGACAGAACTTGAAGTCTTAGTACCAACTAGTGACAACTAGGATGTTGATTATTATTTTCCTTTACACATGAGGTAGTTTAAACCTTACGGAAAAATGTGGTTTTAAACTTCCTCTTTGGAAGATATACAAAGACCACAAAGTGATGTATACTTTCATTGTTTTTATTACACTTCCTTTATTTTACAAAATGATGACATGTCCCATAACATGGTGTTATCCCGTGTCTCTTTGGGCTGCTGTATTAATTTGCATTGCGCAATGCTCCGTTCAGTCCATTGGTCCTCTCCGATAGAGCCCAGCTTAAGCAAGTGGATTTGCGGAAAAAAAATCAGCATTCAGTATAAAAAAAACACAGAAAGAAGGGCAGAGATTTTTCTTTTTTCTTTCTTTCTCTCGTTTAATTTATCATGAGTCTATTTATTTGAAACAGACTGGGCCAATGTCCAAACCAAACTCTTGATCTGCGCCACCAATGTCCAAAGGTGCAACGTCGAGGATTGGAAGGCGAGATGGTTTATTTGTTCTATATTCAATGACTGTCTTGCTCCACTGGCCAGTGTGTCTCTGCAGGGACACAACAAAAAGACAAAACATATTAAGTGATGTTTTTTTTGTTTGTTTTTTGACAAACATCAAACTGTCAAATAAACATGCTGTGATGTAAAAATGTATGGACCATCTCACATGCATGCTGAGCACTATCCACTGTGACTGTATAATATTAACCTCACCCAAAGTTCACCCAAAAACGAAAATTATAACACGAGAATGAACCTCATTTGTTCTCACACGTCAAGTGAACATGCTTGAGCTTCCGTTTACCACAACTGATGTGTGAGTTGATGAATGTTTATATGTGGATAAAAGCCTAAATTAAATCTTTTCATCATATAATGCGATCGAGTCTACTCCGAAAATTTGGACTAAACCGCTCAATTATTTGGATTAGTTTTATGATCTCTATATGACCTTAATGAAGTGTCAAAGTGGTAGTTGAGTAGCTGTCAATGGAGGGACAGAAAACTCAGATTTCATCAAAAAGATTTTCATTTGTATTCTGAAGATAAACGAAAGTCTTTGGGGTTTGGAACGACATAAGGGTGAGTAATTAATGACAGAATTTTCATTTTTGTGCGAACTATCCCTTTAACCTCTTATTTTGTATGTTTCGTGCTAACTAAATGAAGATTTTGTCTGTTTAATCAAAGTGTAAAAAGAGAACTTACACTGCAGCCATCCTCTAGGACGCTGAAAGTGAAGCGGCTGT